CCGATATGAAAAAAAAAAACCCAGCAAAGGCACAATTCTTATCACATGACCAAAGCGTCATGGCAGTCCGTAACCAATCATTTTTTGGGAATCAATGAAATCCCACGTTCATGGGCTTCATGACGAAGTCTCGCGAGTTTTCCTGTGTTATCTTGATTGCTAACGCTGAAGAGTAGGAGGAAATATCAGGTACAGTATTTAAAATAATATATTTCCTTTACCAAAACACAGTTGATTCGTACAAATAGATATTTGCGTTCCTAAACTGACCCTGTGCTCATTTCTGTCTGATACAAATTCATTGAGGGCAAATAGATGGCGTTGTTTTGCTTGATAGTGGCCGAATTTCAGCCAGGCTTCAATGTTGTGGTTTTAATCGAAGGCCGCAGTATTATGTTTCCGGCTTATACCAAAATGACACTCACTCAGCTCGCCAACTTTATTTACGAATACGTTATTGACGTTAAAATGATGTCCATGGCAATCTCATACAACAATTTTACAACATGGCCGTTATTCTAGTTTAACCTGGCTTCTACGTGCTATGATAAGTTTAACCGAAATAACGCACTGTAATGTTACAGTACAGCTGACACACCCACTAACTGCAACGTTAAACATTCAGCCTTTAGTTTTATTAGCGAAATTACAATGAACATGGCAATGATCATCAGGAAAAACATGTTTTTGCAGGACAATTCATGATGAGTTATGCTGAAAAGCCAGAGGAGATAACGAGAGAGGAGTGGATGGAAAAGCTCAACAATGTCCACATTCAGAGAGCTGACATGAACAGGCTCATCATGAACTACTTGGTGACAGGTACAGTAAAACACACACATACCGTGAACTACCTGGTGACCGGTACAGTAAACCATGCACACACACAAACACAGGCATACCAAGAAATACCAGGTACACAAAAAAGGTTCTCTAAACAGATAATTGTATGTCTTTGTTATTAACAGAGGGGTTTAAGGAGGCAGCTGAGAAGTTCCGTATGGAGTCTGGGATTGAGCCCAGTGTGGACCTGGATTCTCTGGACGAGAGGATAAAGATCCGGGAGATGATCCTGAAGGGACAGATACAGGAGGCCATTGCACTCATCAATAGCCTGCACCCAGAACTGCTTGACACAAACCGCTACCTGTACTTTCACCTACAGGTAAAAAGCAGATTGCCTCTCCCTTTATTCTTCTGTCAGTCTTATTTTATGTGCAGTGTTCCCTTTATTCTATGCCATCTGTTCCTCTCACTATCCTTTTTTTTGTCCATCTTCTTCTCCTCATCTTCCTCCTCTGACCGTCCCCTCATACTGCTCTTCCCCTCTGCAGCAGCAGCACCTGATTGAGCTGATCCGTCTGAGGGAGACTGAGGCAGCACTAGAGTTTGCTCAGTCCCAGCTGGCAGAGCAGGGTGAGGAGAGCAGAGAGTGTCTGACAGAGATGGAGAGAACCCTGGCCCTGCTGGCCTTCGACAACCCTGAGGAGTCACCCTTCGGAGACCTCCTCAACACGATGCAGAGGCAGAAGGTGAGGCTTTAATGTCACATATCATAATCTAGAAATAGATAACATATTGCTCTGTAATTGCAAGTTTCTACTACTATTTTATATATATATATATATATATACACAGTGGGGGAAAAAAGTATTTAGTCAGCCACCAATTGTGCAAGTTCTCCCACTTAAAAAGATGAGAGAGGCCTGTAATTTTCATCATAGGTATACGTCAACTATGACAGACAAAATGAGAAAAAAAAATCCAGAAAATCACATTGTAGGATTTTTAATGAATTTATTTGCAAATTATGGTGGAAAATAAGTATTTGGTCAATAACAAAAGTTTCTCAATACTTTGTTATATACCCTTTGTTGGCAATGACACAGGTCAAACGTTTTCTGTAAGTCTTCACAAGGTTTTCACACACTGTTGCTGGTATTTTGGCCCATTCTTCCATGCAGATCTCCTCTAGAGCAGTGATGTTTTGGGGCTGTCGCTGGGCAACACAGACTTTCAACTCCCTCCAAAGATTTTCTATGGGGTTGAGATCTGGAGACTGGCTAGGCCACTCCAGGACCTTGAAATGCTTCTTACGAAGCCACTCCTTCGTTGCCCGGGCGGTGTGTTTGGGATCATTGTCATGCTGAAAGACCCAGCCACGTTTCATTTTCAATGCCCTTGCTGATGGAAGGAGGTTTTCACTCAAAATCTCACGATACATGGCCCCATTCATTCTTTCCTTTACACGGATCAGTCGTCCTGGTCCCTTTGGAGAAAAACTGCCCCAAAGCATGATGTTTCCACCCCCATGCTTCACAGTAGGTATGGTGTTCGTTGGATGCAACTCAGCATTCTTTGTCCTCCAAACACGATGAGTTGAGTTTTTACCAAAAAGTTATATTTTGGGTTTCATCTGACCATATGACATTCTCCCAATCCTCTTCTGGATCATCCAAATGCACTCTAGCAAACTTCAGACGGGCCTGGACATGTACAGGCTTAAGCAGGGGGACACGTCTGGCACTGCAGGATTTGAGTCCCTGGCGGCGTAGTGTGTTACTGATGGTAGGCTTTGTTACTTTGGTCCCAGCTCTCTGCAGGTCATTCACTAGGTCCCCCTGTGTGGTTCTGGGATTTTTGCTCACCGTTCTTGTGATCATTTTGACCCCACGGGGTGAGATCTTGCGTGGAGCCCCAGATCGAGGGAGATTATCAGTGGTCTTGTATGTCTTCCATTTCCTAATAATTGCTCCCACAGTTGATTTCTTGAAACCAAGCTGCTTACCTATTGCAGATTCAGTCTTCCCAGCCTGGTGCAGGTCTACAATTTTGTTTCTGGTGTCCTTTGACATCTCTTTGGTCTTGGCCATAGTGGAGTTTGGAGTGTGACTGTTTGAGGTTGTGGACAGGTGTCTTTTATACTGATAACAAGTTCAAACAGGTGCCATTAATACAGGTAACGAGTGGAGGACAGAGGAGCCTCTTAAAGAAGACGTTACAGGTCTGTGAGAGCCAGAAATCTTGCTTGTTTGTAGGTGACCAAATACTTATTTTCCACCATAATTTGCAAATAAATTCATAAAAAATCCTACAATGTGATTTTCTGGATTTTTTTCTTCTCAATTTGTCTGTCATAGTTGACGTGTACCTATGATGAAAATTACAGGCCTCTCTCATCCTTTTAAGTGGGAGAACTTGCACAATTGGTGGCTGACTAAATACTTTTTTTCCCCACTGTATATATATAAAATAAAATAAATCAGTATGTGATCTTTTGACTACATTATGCTGATTTCATGTTCTTCCTGTCCACTGTGTGCTTCCTGAAGGTATGGAGTGAAGTGAACCAGTCTGTGCTGGACTACGAGAACAGAGAGTCAACGCCCAAACTGGCCAAGCTCCTCAAACTGCTCCTGTGGGCTCAGAACGAACTTGACCAAAAGAAAGTCAAGTACCCCAAAATGACAGACCTCAGCAAGGGCACGATCGAGGACCCAAAGTGACCGTACACCAGGCTATGTGTGCCGTGGGAAACTAAATGGACTCACCTACTCCCATCCTATGTATTTATACTCCAACAGAGACTGACTCATACTACTTTTTTTCTTTTTTTGTGTGGGTTGCTTTTTGTGAGACTTTGATAACATGGACTGTGCAAACTGGATGGTTTGTATTTTAAAGTGACTTGCTGTCGAAACTTCAATATCTGAAATATAAACCCTTGTATTTTAATGAAGTAAAATTATAGACTTTTGTTTCATGTCTGCAATAGATGGTTACATATTTTACAGTTACACTATTTTTTTCTGTCTACTGGCAGGGAAAGTTAGCAATCTTTGCATATGGAGGGTGTGTTAAAGCCTAAATTAGGCTCTCGGGACTATAATGTGTCAACCTAGAACAGAAATGAATGAAGGTGTGGTGTTGGGTAGAACAATTGGTTCCCATTGCTGTGGTCCACTGTCCCAATTATTTTATTTTTCTGAACAAAAACATGCACATTTCAGTTTAATTAATGCTATAGGATAGGGGCCAAAGCTTCTGGGTACTGATGGTGAATGCTTCTAAGCTGCCAATGCCCTGTATCTTTGTCAGAGTTTTATTACAACTTTAGTTTTCATCCTGTGTTATCTTGAACAAACAAGACAATAATGTGAATACATACAGAGACATCCACTCAGTTCTTGGTGGCTGTTTTGCAACCAGATTATTTACATGTAAGGAATAAAATACTCTTTTGGAACACTTGATATGCCTAGGTTGTTGTTAATTATATTTGCAACAAAAAATATGTAATGATGTGTGATGATATTGTGTGTGTTATTGTCATCAACATGCTAGTAACTGATAACTTACTTTATGAGAGGATGGAACAAGTAAGAAAATTCGTTTTAGACACCAACATGTGCAGGAATCTCACTTTTTTCCCCCCATCTGATTGCAGGTTATTTTATAACGTTACCTATGCTTGGTACCTCATCCAGCCTAGGCAGAGGAGCCAACTCAGTGAAGATGTTCCGCAGCATCCCTGGCTGTCCTATGAAGGATGACAACACCAACCACATCGCAACAGAGGACCATCAGACATGCTTTTGCCAAGGGCAGGGGAGTGCATCCATCCCGTAAGTGGTAGGCCTACGAAATTTAGGATGATATGGCCATTATAGACAAACATTCTGTAGTAGCCGGCTATATAGTTTTTTTTTTTCTCCTATGGACCCTGCTCAGTTTTGCTGTCCAATCCAATCAGGTATTTATGGAAGCTTGTTCTGGCCACCCCCCCCAAAAATATCTGACTATGTGTTATGAATTAGTATGTCATAATAATGAGTCATTATTATGAGATACGTAAGTCATAATTATGAGAAGTCATCATGTGATAGTAAGTCATTATTATGAGATACGTTTAGGCGATCTGTATCACATGAATCCAATGTGCACTTTGCATCAGGCCAGCCTCAACTTTCAAGGATAACCTTATGTATATCCTATAGCCAATCACACTGTGTGTGTGAGAGAGCAAGAGAGAGTTTGTGGTGATATTGTTCCATATTAATGGATTGGAGAGTTTTGTTGACGTGAGTTGGTGCCTGTTTGATGACATCTGGTTAACATCAGATGTAATTAATTACTGTAAAACTTCAATTAATAGCTCCGGGCGTTTATTTCCTTAAATCACTGAACACAGCTTTTGCTCATTTGCATTGTTAACTGTTTAATTCCAGCATTCACTTCCAGCATTTTAATAAATGTCTACATTGCCTGCACTAATGTGTTATCATTTACACAGTGTCACGTTTCTTTTGTCTTAGTATGCCTCTATTGACAGAATTATTCTCCACTTTGACTGTGCATTTTCGGCAGTTCTTACTGCTATCGCTAGAGGGCGACCGGACGATTTCTAGGGTCTGTACTCCCGAAATTCTTGAATGTTTTTGTAGTTGCTAGTTAGCTAGGATTTCTCAGCTGTTAGCAGCCAATGGCTAGCAGTTTCTCTTACTGGCGATAAAAACGGATGATTGCCATTTTTTAAAATCATTACTGAATTATTTAATATAACAAATCAAACATTAACCTTGTAAACAATTCATGGAAGTTCATGTAAACCTCGTAAATGATTCATTTAGACCGTGTTTATTTGAAACAGGCGTTTATTTGCTGAAATGTGTGCTGTTGCTCTGCTATTAAAAGAGAGAGGCTGCTATTTGACACTGCGTTTAATAGATGTTTTATGGTAATTCATTAACTCAATTGAATCCATTAAAGGGGCAATCTGGGAATGGTACATCAATTTTTTTTACTTTTAAATTATTCATATATAGCCATTGATTCTTGAAGAATGTAACTTAGAAATGCCTCATGAGCAGCGGTCTTACTCCATCAACCCAAAATATATGCTTGTTTTACTCCATTGTTTGTAAATAATCTAATTCTAAACACACACACTGTGTCTATGTATTTGAGTGGTTACATTTCTCCTGCCCCATTCCTCAGCTGTTTACCAAGTAAAGTGGTGGGGATGATGCTTTATTGTTTGAATCCCAGATTGACCCTTTATAAGGGGTCGACCTGCAGAACTATTCAACGTCCATGATCCAGACTTACTATCTCATAATAATGACTTACTATCTCATTATAATGAGTTACTTAAGTGATAATGCCCGAGAAGCCAGTGTTTGGAGGATATGTTGGCACGGGTGTTGTTTGTCGAGGGCTGGCAAACCGTGCCAATATATCCTCCAAACACCGGCTTCGAGGGCATTATGACTTTTATACAACAGGTTACCAACATATTGAAGTAATGATTTACATATTTTCATTAAAAAAAATGTTATTTTGATTAATTTATTCATACTATTTCATCCATCTACAAGATATATTCAACACAAATCTAGGGTTGCTACCCAAGACGGCTGGTCATTCGTTCGTTATATCAGTTCGGTTGGCAGTCGTTCAGTCTTTTTGTTTTGTATTTATGGGCGCGATCCAGTCGTTCATTCTAAATGTTCCATTGCCATAGTGGCTGGCAATGTTCTTATCCCTTGCTTGCTAGCTAGCCAACTACGGCTAACTTACAGTCACGTCAAACAGCGCAGCCAGAATAACAGCAAAGTAGCTGCATTTGCGTTTGTTTAAGCTGTTTTCTAGTGACATTTATTTGGATACATCCATAACAATGAGCAAATGATGCGCGAATTTGCCTGGCGTAGAAAATGTGCTCTTTCGTCAGGACGCTGTTGTTCAGAGGAGCTAGCTAACAACATAGCTAACACAATCACTTCAAACTGAAGCTGGAAAGACAGCAAACTAGCTGCACTTTGTTTCGTTTTACCTGTTTTCTATTGGTAGTTCTTTGTATATACCCATAAAAATAATGCTGATTCATGATTTCAACCGGCTGAGAAAAGCTGCCTGTCTGTCTCATCCCGACTCCCGACACGTTCAACATTATTATGGGACAGCTGGAGATCAAATTTGAATATTGAAACAATGTTGCAAATGTCGGAGAGATAGAGAGCAAGGTTTATACAAATCTCCGCTGTTGAAAACTAAATATTAGGCTAAAAGAAATGTGAGAATGTCTAGATGCTTTTTATAGGGGAGATCAAGTTTATAAATTGCCTGGCTGGGCTGATGAGACAGTGGATTGCGCAGTCAGATGGAACAGAGTAAATAACTGGTGGAATAGACACCGGCTGGAATGCAGTTTTAACCAATCAGCATTCAGGATTAGACCCACCCATGGTTGTATAATATCTCATAATTATGACTTCTTATCTCAATATTATTTCATAATCATGATTTACTATCTCATAATCATGATTTGGCCTACTATCTCATTATGATTTACAATTTCATGATAATGATTTACTAGGTTGTCATAATTATTACTTACTATGTCATAATTATTACTTACTATGTCATAATTATTACTTACTATCTCATAACTCCTAGTCAGATTTTTTTTGGGGGTGGTGGCGGGAACGGGCTTCCATAGTTATCATCCAGGTTATGTAGCATAGAATTTCTAGAATATTGCACAGTCATTATGGAGCGCGAGCGCCTATATCGGTTGGAGATACTAGGCAGCGATACCGCGGGTGGAAAAAGAAAGTGCATTTTCTTTCTGACGAAATTCAAACTGGTTTTCATAGGGACTGAGTCACTTCTTTAGCCTACTTCCTGATGTAAAATACTGTTGGCAGGAAGAACTGCGTGTCTGGAAAAGAAAACGGACACGTGGATTATCATCGCTCCTCAAGCTATAGGCAAGAGCCAGGGGAAAAAAAAACAGATCCCCTCTGTGGCGACCTGGCCTTATTCTCCCGTGCTCGTCACCTTATCACACGGCAATACAATTATGGATACGCGGTAAACGTCGGCGCGAACATCGACCAAGCGTTTCTTTTTGTCGGCTTTCCTCACTCATTCCATAGCCTACTGGACTGCGACGTGCAGGAAAAGCAAATCTCAAACATTAACATCTCTTGTTGAATGGCAATTCTGCAAAAACATGGAAAGAACTCTAGTCCAGATTTGGTCTGCCTCAAAGAAACCCCCCCAGACAAAATCGGGGACGCTGGAGGCCATCAGAAGAATTGGAGTGAACAGAATACGAACTGGCCGAGGTGAGTTAAAGAAGATTTTTTTAAGTAGCCAACTCACATTTTCCCCAAAGACTAAAACTACGATATTGAAATTACGTACCTTTTCTTGTTATGTTTTTAATAACAGAACAATATATGAGAGGTGTGTTAGCTAGTTCCTTATTTTGCAAATGCCATAACGTTGCAAATTAGAAATAATTCGAGCTCCTCTGTAGGTTACTGAAAGTAGTTGGCATTGGCAAATGGAATTTTCAGAACATTTTCTCTCCCTTGACGTAAGCAAACAAAAAGTTCGACTCACACAAATGTAGCTTTGTGTTTCATACTTTTGAGTCTACTCTAAAAGTGGATACAAAGTGTAGGCCTACAATGAAGCCATAATGTAACCATATGAAATGTAGCTGGTGGTCTCCAGGTTATTTTACTAAGCTGCACACACACACAGCTTTGGGGACTTTCGAAGCTACTAGAAAGTCTGATAGTCAGGCATTCATAGAATTTTCTTAGCATCCCATCATAGCCTTATCTTTGTCTTGTCAACTAATGATTCAGCCAATACTTATATCATGAGATGTAGGCCTAACCTAGCTAGTTAACACAATTTAGCACAGATACAATTTAAACGTTTGAAGTAAAGTGAATATGCCTAGTTGGTTAAGTTAAACAAAATAAATACACATATGTTGGTTTTACTGAGAATATCACACCCACTCTCACACCCCATTGTCTTTGCTACACAATCATTCCCTGTACCCGCTACGCAGACCCCTGGCCCGGGTATGGACGGTGGTGCTACTGCTGGGGACATGTCTGCTGTACTGTGCCCGCGTGGCCATGCCCATCTGTGCTGTCAGCATGGCCGAGAAGTTCAACTGGACTAAGAGGGAACAAGGCATGGTGCTGGGCAGCTTCTTCTGGGGCTACTGCTTCACACAGGTTCTCGGAGGCTACGTCAGCGACAGGTGGGCAACGAGAGGAGAGGAGAGGAGATTATTATAGAGTTATTGTCTGTTTGTTCATAAATTTGCACATAAATTGCCTGGTTGCACAACCTGCAGCTGCACTCACGACATACAATAGCTAGAATAAACAGTGTACATTTAGTTACATTTATTCACCTTTAAACACAGATGGACAATCGGATGATATGAGACCTGTGATTTGAGAATGAAATAGCCTAATACTTTGTCTGTTTTATACATTTGTTTTCCATCATACTACAGACTATAAAACAATGCATTTTATGTAACTCATATTCACTTCAAAACACCCATTACAATGCTATTACCCATTAACCCAAAAAGCAAAAGAACAACTGAGGGGGTGGTGGAATAATGTCACGGTACAGAGAACATACTGTACATGCTACAGAGTATAAAAGGAATGTTGTTTGGGGAGATTGAGAAGCCAATACCCATTTCAGACAGAAGATGTGGTATTTTACCTTAAAATATACAGTGAGGGAAAAAAGTATTTGATCCCCTGCTGATTTTGTACGTTTGCCCACTGACAAAGACATGATCAGTCTATAATTTTAATGGTAGGTTTATTTGAACAGTGAGAGACAGAATAACAACAAAAGAAATCCAGAAAAACGCATGTCAAAAATGTTATCAATTGATTTGCATTTTAATGAGGGAAATAAGTATTTGACCCCTCTGCAAAACATGACTTAGTACGTGGTGGCAAAACCGTTGTTGGCAATCACAGAGGTCAGACGTTTCTTGTAGTTGGCCACCAGGTTTGCACACATCTCAGGAGGGATTTTGTTCCACTCCTCTTTGCAGATCTTCTCCAAGTCATTAAGGTTTCGAGGCTGACGTTTGGCAACTCAAACCTTCAGCTCCCTCCACAGATTTCTTATTGGATTAAGGTCTGGAGACTGGCTAGGCCACTCCAGGACCTTAATGTGCTTCTTCTTGAGCAACTCCTTTGTTGCCTTGGCCATGTGTTTTGGGTCATTGTCATGCTGGAATACCCATCCACGACCCATTTTCAATGCCCTGGCTGAGGGAAGGCGATGGCCCCGTCCATCGTCCCTTTGATGCGGTGAAGTTGTCCTGTCCCCTTAGCAGAAAAACACCCCCAAAGCATAATGTTTCCACCTCCATGTTTGACGGTGGGGATGGTGTTCTTGGGGTCATAGGCAGCATTCCTCCTCCTCCAAACACGGCAAGTTGAGTTGATGCCAAAGAGCTCGATTTTGGTATCATCTGACCACAACACTTTCACTGAGTTCTCCTCTGAATCATTCAGATGTTCATTGGCAACTTCAGACGGGCCTGTATATGTGCTTTATTGAGCAGGGGGACCTTGCGGGCGCTGCAGGATTTCAGTCCTTCACGGCGTAGTGTGTTACCAATTGTTTTCTTGGTGACTATGGTCCCAGCTGCCTTGAGATCATTGACAAGATCCTCCTGTGTAGTTCTGGGCTGATTCCTTACCGTTCTCATGATCATTGCAACTCCACGAGGTGAGATCTTGCATGGCGCCCCATGCCGATGGAGATTGACATGTCTTTTGTGTTTGTTCCATTTGCGAATAATCGCACCAACTGTTGTCACCTTCTCACCAAGCTGCTTGGCGGTGGTCTTGTAGCCCATTCCAGGTGTAGGTCTACAATCTTGTCCCTGACATCCTTGGAGCGCTCTTTGGTCTTGGCCATGGTGGAGAGTTTGGAATCTGATTGATCGATTGCTTCTGTGGACAGGTGTCTTTTATACAGATAACAAACTGAGATTTGGAGCACTCCCTTTAAAGAGTGTGCTCCTAATCTCAGCTCGTTACCTGTATAAAAGACACCTGGGAGCCAGAAATCTTTCTGATTGAGAGGGGGTCAAATACTTATTTCCCTCATTAAAATGCAAATCAATTTATAACATTTTTGACATGCGTTTTTCTGGATATATTTTGTTGTTATTCTGTCTCTCACTGTTCAAATAAACCTACCATTAAAATTATAGACTGATCATGTCTTTGTCAGTGGGCAAACGTACAAAATCAGCAGGGGATCAAATACTTTGTTCCCTCACTGTAAGGCCATGTTTATATGGCCCCCTTTCAAACAGCCCCTTATTTACCACTTATTTGCAGGTATAAACCTTATAAATACAGTGCATTTGGAAAGTATTCAGACCCCTTGACTTTCTCCACATTTTGTTACGTTACAGCCTTATTCTAAAATGGATTAAATAAATACAAATCCTCATCAATCTACACACTACCCCATAATGTCAAAATGAAAACAGGTTTTTAGACATTTTTGCTAATAATAAAATGTAAAAAAGATACCTTATTTACATAGGTATTCAGACCCATTGCTATGAGACTCGAAATTTAGTTCAGGTGTATCCTGTTTCCATTGATCATCCTTGAGATGTTTCTACAACTTGAATAGAGTCCACCTGTGGTAAATTAAATTTATTGGACATGATTTGGAAAGGCACACACCTGTCTATATAAGGTCCTACAGTTGATAGTGCACGTCAGCGCAAAAACCAAGCCATGAGGTCGAAGGATTTGTCCGTAGAGCTCCGAGACAGGATTGTGTCGAGGCACAGATCTGGGGAAAGGTAGAAAAACATTTCTGCAGCATTGAAGGTCCCCAAAAACACAGTGGCCTCCATCATTCTTAATTGGAAGAAGTTGGCTGCCCGGCAAAACTGAGCAATTGGGGGAGAAGGGACTTTGTCAGGGAGATGGCCAAGAACCCGATGGTCACTCTGAAAGAGTTCCAGAGTTCCTGTGTGGAGATGGGAGAACCTTCCAGAAGGACAACCATCTTTGCAGCACTCCACCAATCAGGCCTTTATGGTAGAGTGGCCAGACGGAAGCCACTCCTCAGTAAAAGGCACATGACAGCCAGCGTGGAGTTTGCCAAAAGGCACCTAAAGACTCTCAGACCATGATAAACAAGATTCTCTGGTCTGATGAAACCAAGATTGAGCACTTTGGCCTGAATGCCAAGTGTCACGTCTGGAGGAAACCTGGCACCATCCCTACGGTGAAGCATGGTGGTGGCAGCATCATGCTGTGGGGATGTTTTTCAGCGGCAGGGATTGGTAGAATAGTCAGGATCGAGGGAAAGATGAACAGAGCAAAGTACAGAGAGATCATTGATTGAAAACCTGCTCCAGAACGCTCAGGACCTCAGACTGGGGCGAAGGTTCACCTTCCAACAGGACAAGGACCCTAAGCACACAGCTAAGACAACGCAGGAGTGGCTTCGGGACAAGTCTCTGAATCTCCTTGAGTGGCCCAGCCAGAGCCCGGACTTGAACCCGATCTAACATCTCTGGAAAGACCTGAAAATAGCTGTGCAGCGACGCTCCCCATCCAACCTGACAGAGTTTGAGAGGATCTGCAGAGAAGAATGGGAGAAACTCCTTAAATACAGGTGTGCCAAGCTTGTAGCATCATACCCAATAAGATTTGAGGCTGTAATCGCTGCCAAAGGTGCTTCAATAAAGTACTGAGTAAAGGGTCTGAATACTTATGTAAATTTAATATTTCAATTTTTTAATACATTTGCCAAAAAAAAAAAAAAAACCAGTTTTTGCTTTGTCATTATGGGGAATTGTGTGTAGATTGAGGAATGTTTAACAAAGATCAATTTTAGGATAAGGCAGTGACTGAACAAAATTTGGAAAAAGTCAAGTGATCTGAATACTTTCCGAATGCACTGTACATATCAGGACGTAACTGGCAAATTGGGAGGGTTGGGGGGGGTGTTGTTAAACCATGGGGTCTGTTCGCAGTTCAAATTAGGGAGGTGTTAAACAATAGAAGTGTTAATGAATTTACCTGCAAAAAAGCAGTGAATCATTCACACAGACCTGGTACCTGTATTTTGGTTACAGGGTCTGTGAAAATGCAGGAATAATGATGGCTTTTATTTTTTCCATATTTTTACCCTCTACCCCTTTCAGATATACGAAAAAGCTAGTATAAAAATGCAGGCATGGTAAATTAGTGGGATTTTGGTCTGTCTATGAAAGGGATACAAGATTAACCTTGAGTCATGAGTGGAATTTGAAGGCCAGTATGTGACTGTTAGTATAGTACTGTGTGTTGTTTGAAGAGGGCACAGCCCTTGTGCCGGTGTCCGGGTGGTTACCATGGTTCTCATGGTAACAGCAATGAGATTGATGTCATTGGTTAGTTGTGCTTGCTTTGTATGCTGATGTCCATTCAAAGCAGATCAAATCATCCAGTCAGTTATTTTTCAATTACATTGCCTGGCAGTTGTGTTTCCTGGTAGGAAAGATTAGTACCAATACATTTTAAGTGACTGCAGACTAAAATGGCAGTCTAAAACGGTATTTAATCATTCTCTCAGTCGTTTAGGGTCATCTCACATTTTGCCAACGGAGACAATAAGTAATCAGAGAGTTCCAAGTTCAGAAGCCTCTGCTCTCAACTCCACCCCCCAAAATCAATGAAGTGAAACAGTCTTTTAACTAAACTCCACTGGAACAGTTTAGATTTGGCCTAAATACCTTTGGCAGAAACCTGAAGGTATTACCATATGATTAGGATTTACAGTTCGTTAGATATTAGAGGAAGCACACAGGAAGTTGGGAGCTAGTAATGGGAAGTTGCCTCCTTTTCTTGTATACTTTTCTTCATTTGCATTGTTCTGACAACACAGAATAGGTGAAAGCTAATTGTTGCAAACTAACTGGATAACTTGGTTTCATATACAGTGGGGAAAAAAAGTATTTAGTCAGCCACCAATTGTGCAAGTTCTCCCACTTAAAGAGATGAGAGAGGCCTGTAATTTTCATCATAGGTACACGTCAACTATGACAGACAAAATGAGGGAAAAAAATCCAGAAAATCACATTGTAGGATTTTTAATGAATTTATTTGCAAATTATGGTGGAAAATAAGTATTTGGTCAATAACTAAAGTTTCTAAATACTTTGTTATATACCCATTGTTGGCAATGACACAGGTCAAACGTTTTCTGTAAGTCTTCACAAGGTTTTCACACACTGTTGTTGGTATTTTGGCCCATTCCTCCATGCAGATCTCCTCTAGAGCAGTGATGTTTTGGGGCTGTCGCTGGGCAACACAGACTTTCAACTCCCTCCAAAGATTTTCTATGGGGTTGAGATCTGGAGACTGGCTAGGCCACTCCAGGACCTTGAAATGCTTCTTACGAAGCCACTTCCTTCGTTGCCCGGGCGGTGTGTTTGGGATCATTGTCATGCTGAAAGACCCAGCCACGTTTCATCTTCAATGCCCTTGCTGATGGAAGGAGGTTTTCACTCAAAATCTCACGATACATGGCCCCATTCATTCTTTCCTTTACACGGATCAGTCGTCCTGGTCCCTTTGCAGAAAAACAGCCCCAAAGCATGATGTTTCCACCCCCATGCTTCACAGTAGGTATGGTGTTCTTTGGATGCAACTCAGCATTCTTTGTCCTCCAAACACGACGAGTTGAGTTTTTACCAAAAAGTTCAATTTTGGTTTCATCTGACCATATGACATTCTCCCAATCCTCTTCTGGATCATCCAAATGCACTCTAGCAAACTTCAGACGGGCCTGGACATTTATATGATGTACTGGCTTAAGCAGGGGGACACATCTGGCACTGCAGGATTTGAGTCCCTGGCGGCGTAGTGTGTTACTGATGGTAGGCTTTGTTACTTTGGTCCCAGCTCTCTGCAGGTCATTCTCTAGGTCCCCCCGTGTGGTTCTGGGATTTTTGCTCACCGTTCTTGTGATCATTTTGAACCCACGGGGTGAGATCTTGCGTGGAGCCCCAGATCGAGGGAGATTATCAGTGGTCTTGTATGTCTTCCATTTCCTAATAATTGCTCCCACAGTTGATTTCTTCAAACCAAGCTGCTTACCTATTGCAGATTCAGTCTTCCCAGCCTGGTGCAGGTCGACAATTTTGTTTCTGGTGTCCTTTGACAGCTCTTTGGTCTTGGCCATAGTGGAGTTTGGAGTGTGACTGTTTGAGGTTGTGGACAGGTGTCTTTTATACTGATAACAAGTTCAAACAGGTGCCATTAATACAGGTAACGAGTGGAGGACAGAGGAGCCTCTTAAAGAAGAAGTTACAGGTCTGTGAGAGCCAGAAATCTTGCTTGTTTGTAGGTGACCAAATACTTATTTTCCACCATAGTTTGCAAATAAATTCATAAAAAATCCTACAATGTGATTTTCTGGATTTTTTTCTTCTCAATTTGTCTGTCATAGTTGACGTGTACCTATGATGAAAATGACAGGCCTCTCTCATCTTTTTAAGTGGGATAACTTGCACAATTGGTGGCTGACTAAATACTTTTTCCCCCCCACTGTATCCATGCTTTTAAGAATAGTGCAAATGAAGCAGCGTAGATAGCGTAAATACATGTTGTACTGTTGAGAGATGCATAGGCCTTACATGTATCTTCCGTCAAGGTTGGAGATAAGGTTTAATTGTTATCATGTGGTTATAGCATTTTGTCTTTCCCTCATTTTGTAGATCGAGAGTAACTCATCATTGTAACTGTGATCAACTTTTATCACTGTTTCATCATTCTCTTCCCCTCAGGGTTGAACGAGGACATTAGTAATGCAGTAATACTGATAATGTTGTTATATTACTCTATCTCTGCCCCTCAGAGTTGAAGGATGGGGTTAGTAGTATAGTAATGCTGATAATGTTGTTATATTACTCCATCTCTTCCCCTCAGGGTTGAATGATGGGGTTAGTAGTACAGTAATGCTGATAATGTTGTTATATTACTCCATCTCTTCCCCTCAGGGTTGAAGGATGGGGTTAGTAGTACAGTAATGCTGATAATGTTGTTATATTACTCCATCTCTTCCCCTCAGGGTTGAAGGATGGGGTTAGTAGTACAGTAATGCTGATAATGTTGTTATATTACTCCATCTCTTCCCTCAGGGTTGGAGGTGTAGTGTAATACTGTAGTAATAACCATGCTGTTATATGACTATCTCTTCCCCTCATGGCTGAAGGTGAGAATTTATAGTTGTAATAATAGCAATAAAGTTATATGACTGGAGAGTGCATGAAGTTGTAATAACAGCATTATGATATCTGTTTCCCTCAGGGTTGGAGGTGAGAAGGTGCTCCTGCTGTCTGCAGCGGCCTGGGGGGCGATGACAGCCTTCACGCCTGTCCTGGCCCACTTCTGCTCTCAGCCTATCTTCTCCATGACGCTGGCCCGCTTCCTGATGGGGCTGCTGCAAGGTCAGAGGTCACTGGGCACTGGGAGCTAATGAACAGCTAGGCTGCATCTCAAATGACACCCTATTATTTCCTATATTGTGCTCTAATTAAAACTAGAGCCACATAGGGAAGGGACAAGCAACTGTGTGCCCAAACCGAGAGAAATGGTTTCTGGTTAAGAGTCAATGACTGGACAATACCAGTGAAATAATTAGTCTCTGTCCAGTCCTGAACAAACAAAAATGGTCTTAGCTTCAAAACTACATAGCCTGCAGCTTTAGCTTTGAGAGTGGCCTCTGGGGTTGAAGTTTGACTTTATTGCTTCCCCCTGAGGTATAACTGTTCTTGTTTCCTACTACGTCGGCTCTGACCTCATTGGATGTGGCAGGGCTTGCAAACTATCACAGATTACAAAGGGAAACCGAGCTGCCCAGAAACGTGAGCCTACCAGATGAGCTAAATGCCTTCGACACTCGCTTCAAGGCAAGCAACACTGAGCCATGCATGAGAGCACCAGCTGTCTGGATGACTGTGTGATCTCGCTCTCCGTAGCCTAAGTGAATAAGACCTTTAAACAGGTTAACATTCGCAAGGCCGCAGGGCCGAACAGAATAGCAGGAAGCGTACTCAGAGTATGCTCTGACCAGCTGGCAAGTGTCTTCATTGACATTTTCAACCTATCACTGGTAGTCTGCCTAAATGACTATCGCCCCTCTATATCCATGAAAGGCTGGTCATGACTCACATCAACACCATCATCCCAGGCACCCTGGACCCACTCCTATTCGCATACCGCCCCAATAGATCCACAGATGACGCAATCTCTATTGCACCCCGCTCTGCCCTCATCTACCTAGACAAAAGGAATACCCATGTACACTACATGGTCAAAAGTATCCCCACAGAGAAACTCTGGAGCGCTGTCAGAGTGACCATTGGGTTCTTGGTCACCTCCCTGACCAAGGCCCTTCTCCCCCGATTGCTCAGTTTGGCCGGGCGGCCAGCTCTAGCAAGAGTCTTGGTAGTTCAAACTTCTTCCATATAAGAATGATGGAGACCACTGTGTTCTTGGGGACCTTCAATACTGCAGACATTTTTTGGTACCCTTCCCCAGATCTGTGCCTCGACACAACCCTGTCTCGGAGTTCTATGGACAATTCCTTCGACCTCATGGCTTGATTTTTGGTCTGACATGCGCTGTCAATTGTGGGACCTTATATAGACAGGCGTGTGCCTTTCCAAAACATGACCAATCAATTGAATTTACCACAGGTGGACTCCAATCAAGTTGTAAACAGATCTCAAGGATGATCAATGGAAACAGGATGCACCTGAGCTCAATTTCGAGTCTCATAGCAAAGGGTTTCTGAATACTTATGCTAATACAGGTATTTCTGTTTTTATTTGTTATAAATTTGCAACCTTTTCTAAAAACCTGTTTCGCTTTGTTATTATGGGGTGTTATGTGTAGATTGTTGAGAAAAAAATATATATTTAATCCATTTTAGAATAAAAATGTTGAAAAATTCAAGAGGTCTGAATATTTTCAGAAGGCACTGTATGTACATAGTCACAGACCTGTAACTTCTTCTTTAAGAGGCTCCTCTGTCCTCCACTCGTTACCTGTATTAATGGCACCTGTTTGAACTTGTTATCAGTATAAAATACACCTGTCCACAACCTCAAACAGTCACACTCCAAACTCCACTATGGCCAAGACCAAAGAGCTGTCAAAGGACACCAGAAACAAAATTGTAGACCTGCACCAGGCTGGGAAGACTGAATCTGCAATAGGTAAGCAGCTTGGTTTGAAGAAATCAACTGTGGGAGCAATTATTAGGAAATGGAAGACATACAAGACCACTGATAATCTCCCTCGATCTGGGGCTCCACGCAAGATCTCACCCCGTGGGGTCAAAATGATCACAAGAACGGTGAGCAAAAATCCCACAACCACACGGGGGGACCTAGTGAATGACCTGCAGAGAGCTGGGACCAAAGTAACAAAGCCTACCATCAGTAACACACTACGCCGCCAGGGACTCAAATCCTGCAGTGCTAGACGTGTCCCCCTGCTTAAGCCAGTACATGTCCAGGCCCGTCTGAAGTTTGCTAGAGTGCATCCAGAAGAGGATTGGGAGAATGTCATATGGTCAGATGAAACCAAAATATAACTTTTTGGTAAAAACTCAACTCGTCGTGTTTGGAGGACAAAGAATGCTGAGTTGCATCCAAAGAACACCATACCTACTGTGAAGCATGGGAGTGAAAACATCATGCTTTGGGGCTGTTTTTCTGCAAAGGGACCAGGACGACTGATCCGTGTAAAGGAAAGAATGAATGGGGCCATGTATCGTGAGATTTTGAGTGAAAACCTCCTTCCATCAGCAAGGGCATTGAAGATGAAACGTGGCTGGGTCTTTCAGCATGACAATGATCCCAAACACACCGCCCGGGCAACGAAGGAGTGGCTTCGTAAGAAGCATTTCAAGGTCCTGGAGTCTCCAGATCTCAACCCCATAGAAAATCTTTGGAGGGAGTTGAAAGTCCGTGTTGCCCAGCGACAGCCAACCTCAATTACCTCGTACCCCTGCATATTGACTCGGTACTGGTACTCCCTGTATATAGCCATGTTATTTTTTGCATATTTTTTTCTCGTGTCTAAATCTTTAACTCTGCACTGTTGAAAAAGGACCCGTAAGTAAACATTTACAAATAAAATTTGATTTTGATTTGAGGCACCTCTGTCAGGGCATGAATCATTAGTTTGTTGACTCCTCTGTAAACTGCAGGCGACAATGCTTTCGTATTTGAGACAATGGTGTTTTGTTTTTGCCATTTCCCACTTTCTGTGTCATTTACGTTTATCACATTGCCTAAAGAAGACAGAATAAAGAAAGTTCCTTCCAAATATGTATTAAATGAATGAACCAATGTGTGTGACTTTCTTCACTCACTATATAGTCTAACAGAGCTGTGTGTATCTGTTTCTCCAGGTGTGCACTACCCGTCTCTGGCCAGCCTGTGTTCTCAGAAGGTGGTGGAGAGTGAGAGAGGATTCCTCATGAGCACTGTGGGCAGTGGCTCCTATCTGGGGTGAGTCTGGCTCTGCAACACATCCTGTTTAGAATCTGATCTAGGGTTGCAAATATTACTTGAAACTATCAGAATGTTCGTAACTTTGAGGAATGTTTATGTCATTTATCACAAGACATCTAGAGGCCCTTCTAAAATATAATACAATTGTATTTGTCACATGCACCGAATACAACAGGTGTAGACCTTAACGAGAAATGCTTACTTACAAGCCCTTAACCAACAATGCAAAGAAAATAGAGTTAAGAAAATATTTAGTAAATAAGCTAAAGTATTTTTATTTATTTAAAGTAACACAATAAAATAACAATAATGAGGCTATATACAGGGGGTACCGGTACCGAGTCAATGTGCAGGGGTACAGGTTAGTCGAGGTAATTTCTACATGTAGGTAGGGGTAAAGTGACTATGCATAGATAATAAACAGCGAGTTTCAGCAGTGTAAAAACAAATAATAATAATTTGAATGACAAAGCTGTAAAACGTTATCCTAAATATAAGATCTTTAATGTTAGACACAGGTGAGGAGCACTTTGGTTTTTACTTAATCCATGAAGTGCTCTTTGATCATCGGATGAAATTCTATAGAACAAAAAGAAGTTGATGCTATATAGTAAACAATGCCCGAAAAGCCTTGTGAAAACAAACTTCCAGAAGTAATCAAGGCACTCTCATGTAGTGGAAAAATTAAGAAGCCTTTATTGTTTTATGGCTTATGCATGGCAAGAATAAAAAAACACTGATGCGTTGCGGCTACAGCAGCCTTCATCAAGGGTGACAAAGAATAGTGGTAGACAACGGGTGTATATCCCAACTCTCACAGGAAGTGGCTAAATTCATTACCACATGGAATTGATCAAAGTAAAAAAATTAACACATTCAAGATACAAAGATGGCATAATGAGAATGCAACACCACAAAATATATGCAATATCATAAAAGCAAAATACAAACTGTGTGCTCATGTTACCAAACTTAAGTAAATAAACCACATACAGTGGGGAAAAAAAGTATTTAGTCAGCCACCAATTGTGCAAGTTCTCCCACTTAAAAAGATGACAGAGGCCTGTAATTGTCATCATAGGTACACGTCAACTATGACAGACAAAATTAGAAAAAAAAATCCAGAAAATCAATTTTTAATGAATTTATTTGCAAATTATGGTGGAAAATAAGTATTTGGTCAATAACAAAAGTTTCTCAATACTTTGTTATATACCCTTTGTTGGCAATGAGACAGGTCAAACGTTTTCTGTAAGTCTTCACAAGGTTTTCACACACTGTTGCTGGTACTTTGGCCCATTCCTCCATGCAGATCTCCTCTAGAGCAGTGATGTTTTGGGGCTGTCACTGGGCAACACGACTTTCAACTCCCTCCAAAGATTTTCTATGGGGTTGAGATCTAGAGACTGGCTAGGCCACTCCAGGACCTTGAAATGCTTCTCACGAAGCCACTCCTTCGTTGCCCGGGCGGTGTGTTTGGGATCATTGTCATGCTGAAAGACCCAGCCACGTTTCATCTTCAATGCCCTTGCTGATGGAAGGAGGTTTTCACTCAAAATCTCACGATACATGGCCCCATTCATTCTTTCCTTTACACGGATCAGTCGTCCTGGTCCCTTTGCAGAAAAACAGCCCCAAAGCATGATGTTTCCACCCCCATGCTTCACAGTAGGTATGGTGTTCTTTGGATGTAACTCAGAATTATTTGTCCTCCAAACACGACAAGTTGAGTTTTTACCAAACATTTATATTTTGGTTTCATCTGACCATATGACATTCTCCCAATCCTCTTCTGGATCATCCAAATGCACTCTAGCAAACTTCAGACGGGCCTGGACATGTACTGGCTTAAGCAGGGGGACACGTTTTGCACTGCAGGATTTGAGTCCCTGGTGGCGTAGTGTGTTACTGATGGTAGGCTTTGTTACTTTGGTCCCAGCTCTCTGCAGGTCATTCACTAGGTCCCCCCGTGTGGTTCTGGGATGTGATCATTTTGACCCCACGGGGTGAGATCTTGCGTGGAACCCCAGATCGAGGGAGATTATCAGTGGTCTTGTATGTCTTCCAGTTCCTAATAATTGCTCCCACAGTTGATTTCTTCAAACCAAGCTGCTTACCTATTGCAGATTCAGTATTCCCAGCCTGGTGCAGGTCTACAATTTTGTTTCTGGTGTCCTTTGACAGCTCTTTGGTCTTGGCCATAGTGGAGTTTAGAGTGTGACTGTTTGAGGTTGTGGACAGGTGTCTTTTATACTGATAACAAGTTCAAACAGGTGCCATTAATACAGGTAACGAGTGGAGGACAGAGGAGCCTCTTAAAGAAGAAGTTACAGGTCTGTGAGAGCCAGAAATCTTGCTTGTTTGTAGGTGACCAAATACTTATTTTCCACCATAATTTGCAAATAAATTCATTAAAAATCCTACAATGTGATTTTCTGGATTTTTTTTCCTCAATTTGTCTGTCATAGTTGACGTGTACCTATGATGAAAATTACAGGCCTCTCTCATCTTTTTAAGTGGGAGAACTTGCACAATTGGTGGCTGACTAAATACTTTTTTCCCCCACTGTATCTCTTACAGGAAGGGAGATTAATTAATTTCCTAATTTAGACCTGGCAATACAGTGGCCCTTAGTTTATAGCTCCAGAAGGTTCCGCGTTGTAGGAGGCTTTTGAGACGATCGCCCCACCTGCGAGAACTGGGAACCACTTAAATGGCCATGGCTTTCAGAGAGTTTGGGCTGCCATGGCCAACCTGTCTGTAATTTTTCCACTACATGAGAGTGCCTTGATTACTTCTGGAAGTTTGTTTGCACAAAGGCTTTTAGGGCATTGTTTACTATCCAGCATCAACTTATTTTTGTTCTGTAATATGTTTAATATGAGGGTTTCAGCATGAAATATCGATCTTTTTTTTACACACTTTTATTTATTTTACTACAGTACCAGTCAAAAGTTTGGACACACCTACTCATTCAAGGGTTTTTCTTAATTTGTACTATTTTCTACATTGTAAAATAATAGTGAAGACACTAAAACTATGAAATGACACATATGGAATCATGTAGTAACCAAAAAAGTTGATGACAGCTTTGCACACTCGTGGCATTCTCTCAACCAGCTTCACCTGGAATGCTTTTCCAATAGTCTTGAAGGAGTTCCCACATATGCTGAGCACTTGTTGGCTGCTTTTCCTTCACTCTGCGGTCCAACTCATCCCAAACCATCTCTATTGGGTTGAGGTCGGGTGATTGTGGAGACCAGGTCATCTTATGCAGCACTCCGTCACTCTCCTTCTTGGTCAAATAGCCCTTACACAGCCTGGAGGTGTGTTAGGTCATTGTCCTGTTGAAAAACAAATCATAGTCCCACTAAGCGCAAACCAGATGAGATGGTGTATCGCTGCATAATGCTGTGGTAGCCATGCTGGTTTAGTGTGCCTTGAATATTAAATAAATCACTGACAGTGTCACCAGCAAAGCACTCCCACACCATCACACCTCCCCCTTCATGCTTCATGGTGGGAACCACACATGCAGAGATCACCTACTCTGTGTCTCACAAAGACACGGCGGTTGGAACCAAAAATCTCAAATGTGGACTCATCAGACCAAAGGACAGATTTCCACTGGTCTAATGTCCATTCCTCGTGTTTCTTGGCCCAAGCAAGTCTCTTCTTCTTATTGGTGTCCTTTAGTAGTGGTTTCTTTGAAGCAATTCAACCATTAAGGCCTGATTCATGCAGTCTCCTCTGAACAGTTCATGTTGAGATGTGTCTGTTACTTGAACTCTGTGAAGCATTTATTTGGGCTGCAATTTCTGAAGGCTGGTAACTCTAATGAACTTATAATAATAATAATATGCCATTTAGCAGACGCTTTTATCCAAAGCGACTTACAGTCATGTGTGCATACATTTTTACGTATGGGTGGTCCCGGGGATCGAACCCACTACCCTGGCGTTACAAGCACCATGCTCTACCATTTGAGCTACAGAGGACCACAACTTATCCTCTGCAGCAGAGGTAACTCTGGGTCTTCCTTTCCTGTGGTGGTCCTCATGAGAGCCAGTTTCATCATAGCGGTTGATGGTTTTTGCGACTGCACTTGAAGAAACTTTCCCCAAAATTTTTTTTTTCCAGATTGACTGACCTTCATGTCTTAAAGTAATGATGGACTGTTGATTCTCTTTGCTTATTTTAGCTGTTCTAATCATAATATGGACTTGGTCTTTTACCAAATAGGGCTATCTTCTGTATACCACCCCTACCTTGTCACAACACAATAAGAAGGAAAGAAATTCCACAAATTAACTTTTAACAAGGCATACCTGTTAATTGAAATGCATTCCAGGTGACTACCTCATGAAGCTGGTTGAGAGAATACCAAGAGTGTGCAAAGCTGTCAAGGCAAAGGGTGGCTACTTTGAAGAATCTCAAATATATTTTGATTTGTTTACCACTTTATTTTGGTTACTACATGATTCCATATGTGTTATTTCATAGTTTTGATGTCTTCACTATTATTGTACAATGTAGAAAATTGTAAAAATAAAGAAAACCCCTTGAATGAGTAGGTGTGTCCAAACTTTTCACTGGTACTGTATGTCAATATGTGTTTGTTGTAAATGTTTTGCCACCAAACTGGTGGCAGTTGTGAAAAAAGTCAGTAGTTGGAAGAGTTAATAAAAAATAATGCCATTGTTGATTAGATGCTTTTTTCATTAATTAGGCAATTTTCTCTTGAACCATGTGGTCTATCCACAAGAAACTCATGGACAATATGGACACAGATATAAAAAATGAATACTGTATATGAATTCATTTTTATAAATTACCAAAGTTACCATAGATTTGAAAATGTATACACTCACTAACTATAAGTCGCTCTGGATAAGAGCATCTACAAAATGACTAAAATGTAAATGTAAATTGCCATAGAAGATTCCCGTAACTTTGGTAAATTACCAGTAGCTTTGCAACCCTACTCTTATCTAAGCTCAGTTTTTTGTTTCCCCCACTGGTGGTTAAGGGTAGGATTGAGGGAAGGTAAACTGATCCTAGATCTGCGCCTGAGTTTTTCCTGAGTGTTTTAAGTGCTGCTGTTGTTGATGAGGTCATCTGTTATGGAAGCCAGGGTTAGACGTTTGTCATTGGAGTTGCGGAGGGATGTCATTTTGGGATGGCCGTAAACCGCTCATCAGGGAGCCACAGACGTTTCTCTCTGTCTCCAGTCAGGAGTTCTCCACAGATGGTCTTGTTTTGCCATTGCAGTAAAAAACTATAAATATACAATAAGGTCCGCAGCTAAAGCTACCCTTTGTGTGTGTGACCAGTGCTGTTGTCTCCTGCAGGACACTGGTGATTGGGGGGGCTGGTTCCCTCATGTTGGACCTGTATGGTTGGGAGAGTGTGTTCTATGTGTCTGGCCTGCTCTCTGTCCTCTGGGCATACTGCATGTGGAAATACCTGCTCAAAGGGGAAGGTAAGGAGTGTGTATGTGTTCTGGGTGTTTGTTTATGTATCTATGTGAATTGAGCATATGCATATCTAACTGAAAGTAAACAAATGTTTTATTTCACAGCTAGACTATTTTGGGCAAGTGGTGATATTTGATTTATTTGCTTCATTGTTGTTTTTCAAGCCATCTGTTCCTATTGTTGTTATGAACTTCCTCTAAGCTCCACATTGAGCTCAGACTTTCCTCTTTCTCTGTGTGTGTTCCAGGACCTATCATCACATTGGAGTCGCTGGGTAGTGGAGGGCCCCAGTCCAAACTGTCCAGGAGACACTGGCTACGCCTCTTCAAACAACCTGCTGTCTGGTGAGATAAGGCCCAAACACAATGGGAGATCTCTGTGAAGTGTGTGTCTTTGTGTCCCAGGCCCTGTGTGTGTGTGTGTAATGTGTATGTGTGTGTCTACACTACAGGTACATGTGTTTCTGTCCTACTTTGTGAGTCTCAGCCTGTGCGTATGTGTCCGTGTGTGTTTCTGACTGTGTGTGAAGGTAAATGGACAGTCCTTGCCTGTACCTAACTGACTGAGATAGGTCTACTCCATTGATTCAGTCTCTCTCCTCTCTGATCAGCTCACTTCCCTGTAGATGTTCCCGTCTCAGATATAGGCTTCATTCATATCCTCTGTGCCTGTCTCTATTGGCTTTTATTTATAGAACCCCATAGCGGTCTGTGCAACTGATCTTCCCTGTTTACAATGACAGGAATTATGTCTTGTATGGTTGGTTGGTTTTATTTATTGTAATGGCTAAACCACACCTTGATAGGCAAACTAACCACTGAACAGAAAAGCATATGTCACTGACTGTGTGTGGGTGGGGGTTGGTGTGAGCATGGATTTGCAGCACGGACTGACACTGTTAAGTTCTTGAGTGAGCAAAACTCAGTGGCGAGAAAGCCATTTAAACAGTCTGATTAAATGTACAATAAATATACTGATATTGCTTGTTTTTATGTTGAGCAGGCACATTAATATAACTGTAGTGGTGTAAAAGTAGGAACCGCTGTGGAATATTTTGTGAGCTTTAAAATGATGAAGCCTATGAGTCATAGAAGTGGTACGCTAACTTATGTATATGTGTTTGTTCTCTCTCTCTCTCTCTCTCTCTCTCTCTCTCTCTCTCTCTCTCTCTCTCTCTCTCTCTCTCTCTCTCTCCATTATCCTCCCTTCCCTTCAGTGCTGTGATTATTACGCACCTTTGCACTGCAAGCACCTTCTTCACATTGTTGTCATGGCTACCAACTTACTTCAAGGACACCTTCCCTGACGCCAAGGTAACTTGCCCCCTCCCCCTCTCCCAACCCATCCCTTCAGAAGACAAAACAAAACTTAAATATACCACATTGGAGTTCAAGGCTGGAATGACAAAGACAACAGACACACTTGAAAGTGTACATACAAAATGGCTCAAAGCTAGTCAGACCCCCTGCATCTGACAGACCTGTGTAATACCACTGAGTAAACCAAGAGAGGGCGCCGTAGACATGGTGCAGACATAAATCTCTGCTAGCTAAGGAACTCGGATGTTCCCCAAACGTAGATGTTCGCCAAGTTGGATCACTATCTCTTAACAAACATGTATAGCGTATTGATGTCATACATGTCTGAGCTCATATCAATGTTCTTGGTGTTAAATGTTATGGTGTTCTCCCCGCAGGGTTGGGTGTTTAACGTTATCCCATGGTTTGTTGCCATCCCCTCGTCACTCTTCAGTGGCTGTCTCTCTGACCACCTTATCAGCCAAGGTAATGCCAGAGATAAACTATTTGTCATCAAGAAACAAATTATGTGAATGTTTTACTTATGTTTTACTGATTGTAATCAATCGAAGTTGGTACCCTTATACGATTGTCAGAGTTTTTAACTATTGCTCTGTGCCACGTCTCTCTCTCTCTCTCTCTCTCTCTCTCTCTCTCTCTCTCTCTCTCTCTCTCTCTCTCTCTCTCTCTCTCTCTCTCTCTCTGTGTCTCTCTCTCGCTCTGTGTCTCTCTCTCTCTGTGTCTCTCTCTCTCTCTCTCTCTGTGTCTCTTTCTCTCTCTCTCTCTCTCTCTCTCTCTGTCTCTCTCTGTGTCTCTCTCTTTCTGTGTCTCTCTCTCTCTGTGTCTCTCTCTCTCTCTCTGTGTCTCTTTCTCTCTGTGTCTCTCTCTCTGTCTCTCTCTCTCTCTCTCTCTCTCTGTCTCTTTCTCTCTCTGTGTCTCTTTCTCTCTCTGTGTCTCTCTCTTTCTGTGTCTCTCTCTCTCTGCTGTCTCTCTCTCTCTGTGTCTCTCTCTCTCTGTGTCTCTTTCTCTCTCTCTGTCTCTGTCTCTCTCTCTCTCTCTCTGTGTCTCTCTCTTTCTGTGTGTGTCTCTCTCTCTCTCTCTATGTGTCTCTTTTTCTCTGTGTGTCTCTCTCTTTCTGTCTCTCTCTCTCTCTCTCTCTCTCTCTCTCTCTCTCTCTCTTTCTGTGTGTCTCTCTCTGTGTGTCTCTCTCTCTCTCTCTCTCTCTCTCTCTCTCTCTCTTTCTGTGTCTCTCTCTCTCTCTGTGTGTCTCTCTCTCTCTCTGTGTCTCTCTCTTTGTGTGTGTCTCTCTCTCTGTGTCTCTCTGTGTCTGTCACTCTCTATCTCTCTCTTTCTCTCTCTGTCTCTCTAGGGTTTGACACTGCTACTGTGAGGAAGCTTATGCAGGTATTGTAGCTTGTTTCCGATTCATTGCCCAAATTGGCATTGCTAGTTAACTTTAGATTTGCCTTTCCTCTCCTTGTATCCTGGTCAGTTCTTCTCCATGGGTGTTTCCAGTGTGTTTACCCTCCTGCTGTGTGGCACAACCACCTTCCCCACAGCTGTGGCCTTTGTCTCTGTCACCATGGGCCTCACCACCTTCAGCCACAGGTACTGATGCTCGTCCACAAATCTACTCCTAGCTCCTAGGCCTAGTGTCTATCCTCTGGGGCCTGACCATATTCAGCCACATGTACTAACCCTTAAGGGCTGCAGTGTTTGATCCTGGAAGTGTACAAGGATGTAAATGATAAATGCAAGATGTAGATAATAACCGACAGTGGAATGGATCATATAAACATAATCACCCCCTCACAAGCGCTGCGCTTTAACAGTCACTATGTAGTTCCATTTATGTTTTTATGACTCTGATCTTTCATTTTATAGGTTTTAATATGAAGCAGTTCAGGTGACAAAGATAGGGAGTCTGTATAACACCTTATTTACTGAGGCAGAAAGTAACGTGTCTTGTTGTGTCTGTAATCCAGCGGTGTGTCTGTGAATGTTCAGGACCTGGCTCCGTCATGTGCTGGGGCTTTGTTTGGTATGTTACACCAGTGGCTACTTTATCAATCTCTCAGCAGATTTGACTTTTGATTGAGTATTCCTTCTGATGAATATTACAGTCCTGTCAAATATTACAAATGAATCATGTATCTATTTTTCATTGCAGGTGTTATGAATACCTGTGGAGCATTCTCAGGTAAGCATGTTCATTGAGTGACAATAAACTAAAGTGGAAGCATCTGTGATGAATCTTTCACCAGCAGTTCCAGGATCAGTTGTTTTGTCCTTTCATGAATTGATGATGAATAATGAATCTGATTGTTCTAAAGGCAGGACTTTGGGTTGTGTCTCATGTCAGTCACATTGGCTCCAATGCTCCATGCATATTTCATACTGGAATGATAATAGAGTTTGTGTCAGATGAATAATTTAGGAAATAGAAGATGACAGTTAGGGCGCCGTAGAGGGGAATGGGCATTTGAATCCATTTACTTATACCGCACACAACTGGGAATGGGATGATTAACTGTCATTTGGGCAAAAGTAGTTTGTGCCTGTGGTTTAATGTGCTAAGTTGATATGCCGTAGCCTGAAACTGCTCAGTTTGTGCGTGCATGTATTGTGTTTCCTAATGCTGTATTCCTCTGCGTATCTGATGGTGTGTGTGTGTTTCTCCAGGTGTGCTGATGGTGTATTTCTCGGGGTATCTGATTGAGGCCACAGGGTCATGGGCATCTGTCTTCGCCCTTATCACTGTGGTGAACCTGGTGGGACTGGTCACCTTCCTGGCCTTCGCTGAGGCTCGCCGGGTCGACATCGACTCTTCCAAGGGTCGCTACCACAACATCCACATCTGAGTCCCAACGTTGAGATGAGGGACCAGGGCTTGCTACCACAACAACCACCTATTTAACAGAGGGGCCAAAACGGGACAAGGACCCACACTATCCACATCTGAGTCCCTAAAACAGGACCAGAAACCATGCCCATGTACCACAGAATGCACACTGGAGACTTAAATATAGAAAGAGAACAGGGAGAGTCTTGGTCTGTTAAAGGTATCAAAACATCCACATCAGAATTTGAGGAAGTGACAACAGAAGTGAAAGTCAACCCTAGATGTTTGTCAGATCGTAGTCAGTGTTCCCCTATATTAATTTAATACATTCTTAATTGTTTCTCTCTCTCTCTCTCGATTATATATACAGTTGAAGTCGGAAGTTTACATACACTTAGGTAGGAGTCATTCAAACTCGTTTTTTCAACCACTCCACAAATTGCTTGTTAACAAACTATAGTTTTGGCAAGTCGGTTAGGACATCTACTTTGTGCATGACACAAGTCATTTTTCCAAACATTTTTACAGACAGATTATTTCACTTATAATTCACTGTATCACAATTCCAGTGGGTTAGAAGTTTACATACACTAAGTTGACTGTGCCTTTAAACAGCTTGGAAAATTCCAGAAAATGATGCCATGGCTTTAGAAGCTTCTGATAGGCTAATTGACATAATTTGAGTCCATTGGAGGTGTACCTGTGGATGTATTTCAAGGCCTACCTTCAAACTCAGTGCCTCTTTGCTTGACATCATGTGAAAATCAAAAGAAATCAGCCAAGACCTCAGAAAAAAACATTGTAGACCTCCACAAGTCTGGTTAATCCTTGGGAGCAATTTCCAAACGCCTGAAGGTACCACGTTCATCTGTACAAACAATAGTACGCAAGTATAAACACCATGGGACCACACAGTTGTCATAAAGCTCAGGACGGAGATGCGTTCTGTCTCCTAGAGATGAACCTACTTCGGTGCGAAAAGTGAAAATCAATCCCAGAACAACAGCAAAGGACTTTGTGAAGATGCTGGAGGAAACAGGTACAAAAGTATCTATATCCACAGTAAAACGAGTCCTATATCAACATAACCTGAAAGGCCACTCAGCAAGGAAGAAGCCACTGCTCCAAAACCGCCATAACAAAGCCAGACTACGGTTTGCAACTGCACATGGGGACAAAGATTGTACTGTTTGGAGAAATGTCCTTTGGTCTGATGAAACAAAAATAGAACTGTTTGGCCATAATGACCATCGTTATGTTTGGAGGAAAAAGGGGGATGCTTGCAAGCCGAAGAACACCATCCCAACCGTGAAGCACGGGGGTGGCAGCATCATGCTGTGGGGGTGTTTTGCTGCCGGAGGGACTGGTGCACTTCACAAAATAGATGGCATCATGAGGAAGGAAAATTATGTGGATATATTGAAGCAAGATCTCAAGACATCAGTCAGGAAGTTAAAGCTTGGTCGCAAATTGGTCTTCCAAATGGACAATGACCCCAAGCATACTTCCAAAGTTGTGGCAAAATGGCTTAAGGACAACAAAGTCAAGGTATTGTAGTGGACATCACAAAGCCCTGACCTCAATCCTATAGAAAATGTGTAGGCAGAACTGAAAAAGCATGTGCGAGCAAGGAGGCCTAAAAAACCTGACTCAGTTACATCAGCTCTACATTTAAATTTTAGTAATTTAGCAGACGCTCTTATCCAGAGCGACTTACAGTTAGTGAGTGCTTACATTTTTCATACTGGCCCCCCATGGGAATCGAACCCACAACCCTGGCGTTGCAAGCGCCATGCTCTTCCAACTGAGCTACAGGAGGCCCTGTCAGGAGGAGTGGGCCAAAATTCACCCAACTCATTGTGGGAAGCTTGTGGAAGGCTACTCGAAACGTTTGACCCAAGTTAAACAATTTAAAGGCAATGCTACCAAATACTAATTGAGTGTATGTAAACTTCTGACCCACTGGGAATATGATGAAAGAAATAAAAGCTGAAATAAATCATTCTCTCTACTATTATTCAGACATTTCACATTCTTAAAATAAAGTGATGATCCTAACTGACCTAAGACAGGGAATTTTTACTAGGATTAAATGTCAGGAATTGTGAAAAACTGAGTTGAAATGTATTTGGCTAAGGTGTATGTAAACTTCCGACTTCAACTGTATATAGTACCAGTCAAAAGTTTGGACACACATACTCATTCCAGGGTTTTTCTTTATTTTTACTATTTTCTACATTGTAGAATAATAGTTAAGACATCAAAACTATGAAATAACACATATGGAATCCTGTAGTAACCAACTTTGAAAGTTTATTAATGTGCAGTTGCAAAAACCATCAAGCGCTATGATGAAACTGGCACTCATGAGGACCGCCACAGGAAAGGAAGATCCAGAGTTACCTCTGCTGCAGAAGATAAGTTCATTAGAGTTACCAGACTCTTGGGCCAAGAAACACAAGCAATGGACATTAGTCCGGGGGAAATCCAAATTTGAGAGTTTTTGGTTCCAACCGCCGTGTCTTTGTGAGACACAGAGTAGGTGAACGGATGATCTCTGCATGTGTGGTTCCTACCGTGAAGCATGGAGGAGGTTGTGTGGGGGTGCTTTGCTGGTGACGCTGTCAGTGATTTATTTAGAATTCAAGGCACACTTAACCAGAATGGCTACCACAGCATTCTGCAGCGATACGCCATCCCATCTGGTTTGCGTTAGTGGGACTATGTTTTTCAACAGGACAATGACCCAACACACCTCCAGGCTGTGTAAGAGCTATTTGATCAAGAAGGAGAGTGACGGAGTGCTGCATCCGATGACCTGGCCTCCACAATCACCCGACCTCAACCCAATTGAGATGGTTTGGGATGAGTTGGACCGCAGAGTGAAGGAAAAGCAGCCAACAAGGGCTCAGCATATGTGGGAACTCCTTCAAGACTGTTGGAAAAGCATTCCTCATGAAGCTGATTCAGGCAAAGGGTGGCTATTTGAAGAATCTCAAATATAAAATACATTTTGATTTGTTTAACACTTTTTTGGTTACTACGTGATTCCATATGTGTTATTTCATAGTTTTGATGTCTTCACTATTATTCTACAATATAGAAAATAGTAAAAAATTAAGAAAAACCCTTGAATGAGTAGATGTGTCCAAACTTTTGACTGGTACTGTATGTATAAATTAACACACCCTTTGCTGACAGGTGTATAAAATCAAGCACACAGACATGCAATCTCTATAGACAATCATTGGCAATAGAATGGCCTTACTGAAGAGCTCAGTGACTTTCATATTGGCACCGTCATAGGATGCCACCTTTCCAACAAGTCAGTTTGTTAAATTTCTGCCCTGCTAGAGCTGCCCCAGTGAACTGTAAGTGCTGTTATTGTGAAGTGGAAACATCCAAGAGCAACAATGGCCATGAAATGGTACGCCACACAAGCTCACAGAACGGGACCGCCGAGTGCTGGAGCACGTAAAAATCGTCTGTCCTCGGTTAAAATACTCACTACCGAGTTCCAAACTCCAAACTGCCTCTTGGAGCAACGTCAGCACAAGAACTGTTGTGAGCTTCATGAAATGGGTTTCCATGGCAGAGCAGCCTGCAAACAAGCCTAAGATCATCATGCGCAGTGCCAGGTGTCTGCTGGAGTGGTGTAAAGCTTGCTGCCATTGGACTCTGGAGCAGTGGAAATGCGTTCTCTGGAGTGATGAATCACACTTCACAATCTGGCAGTCTGACCGACGAATCTGGGTTTGGCAGATGCCAGGAGAATGCTACCTGCCCCAATGCATAGTGCCAACTGTAAAGTTTGGAGGAGGAATAATGGTCTGGGGCTGTTTTTCATGGTTCGGGCTAGGCCCCTTAGTTCTAATGAAGGGAAAGCTTAACGTTACAGCATACAATGACATTCTACACGATTCTGTGCTTCCAACTTTGTGGCAACAATTTGGGGAAGGCCCTTTCCTGTTTCAGCATGACAATGGCCCCGTGCACAAAGCGAGGTCCATACAGAAAAGGTTTGTTGAGATTGGTGTGGAAGAACTTGACTGGCCTGCACAGAGCGCTGACCTCAACCCTATTGAACACCTTTGGGATGAATTGGAATGCGAGTCAGGCCTAATCGCCCAACATCAGTGCCCAACCTCACTAATGCTCCGCAGCAATGTTCCAACATCTACATTTTAGTCATTTAGCAGACGCTCTTATCCAGAGCGACTTACATGAGCAATTAGGGTTAAGTGCCTTGCTCAAGGGCACATCGACAGATTTTTCACCTAGTCGGCTCGGGGGTTAGAACCAGTGACTTTTCGGTTACTGGCACAACGCTCTTAACCACTAAGCTACCTGCTGCCATCTAGTGGAAAGCCTTCCCAGAAGAATGGAGGCTGTTATAGCAGCAAAGGGGGGACCAACTCCATATTAATGCCCATGATTTTGGAATAAGATGTTCGACGAGCATTTGTCCACATACTTTTGGTCATATAGTGTGTATATATATATCTGCCGAGACGTGCTTTTAAAGGGATAGTCGTTGGCTCAATGACTAAGTCTATGGGAACAGCTAGCATGTCATTGCGCTAACGCTAGTAGCAATGCACCAATCCTCCCCTCCCACCCGCTACCCTTGCCACCACAGCTGAAAAAAATCATAGGGGAATCACTGATAGTGCTATAATATTTGAGTTTAAAGAACCATTCCTGTCATATTTTTGATTGTTCAATCTTCAGCCATGGTTGAGCCTGTTGGGCTGGGACTGTGGTTAGCAGTTCATAGGTTCAGTATGACCTTAGTGTCCTGGTTCCACACCCAGGTCTGTGTCTGGGTTTATGTTGGAGGAATATGAGAAGAATGACGTGTGTGAGTCTAGTCGGTTTGACAGTTTTAGACTGAGTAAGATGTGTGTTTGTGGCTGATGAAGGAAGCCCCAATCTGTGGAGAATATGGGGAAAGCAGACTAAAAGAAAAGGACATGACTGTGTGAGTGGCATCTAATTAGGAGGTGACTAATCGCCCATACACCCACTCTGATGTACTGTACAATTTACCTGCCATCGTCTTTATCGCCATGGCTACATGCTCGTCAGCGTGCTTCACTGCATTTTGTTTTATCTCCAGAGCTCTCATAGAGAGACTGTAGCCTCAACGTACATTTATCTAGAAGGATTTGTTTTAAGTTCAATTTAGAAGGCCAAAGGTTGTTGTTATGTTTCCTTTTTTATTGTCATGAAGATAATTGCATGACATGCTCAAAGACGAATACTTGAATCACGTTGATTTTTGAAATGTATTTAATTTATATGAAAAATGTTATCAATGATGTTGTCATAAAGCATAGGAGACTTGTAGAAAGATACCATAATGTATCAGTTGAGATTTTGTCATATTTGCTGCAAGAGTGGACACTTAAAGGAGACTTGGTCGATGCAGTTTCCTACAGCTGACGAGGCAGTCAAGTGTCATGCAGTAGACGGCTCCCTGTTTGTTATGGTTACTTCATAGTCTGGACAGGATGTGAGGTCATCGGTAACAAAATCCAGCTGTGACATGAAGTGAATGTATTACGGTGTGAAGCTTTATCACCCACGGAGTGGTACGGACACAGTCGGGTGCTTGCTTCTCAGAAATGAAGGCCTTGATTGCAGTGAGGTCATGATGAGGTCAAACAGGATGACATTATGAATCAGTTCTATTATGGCACTTTTGATTGAACATGTTCTTGTTACTGAATACATGATCAGTGTTGACTCTACCTGTAGATACATATATAAAGTAAACTTACATATAGACCTGGTTTATACCTTAGGCCTTGGCATACAAAAGGTAACACACGTTAGTGACAGGCTACTGTACAAAAGCTATGCCCTAGTTTGTCGATGTCTGACCAATTTGTAGTCTACTGTTTTACTTTTTTGTAAACTGAACACCCAACATTTTCGAGCACAGAAGCTGACTAAGAGATGCCCTTATTCAAAAGCTCTCACTTCACATGCCTTAGCTGATGATTGTTTGAAAATGCCTTCATTGCTTGTTTGATTTACATTTACATCATTTAGCAGACGCTCTTATCCAGAGCAACTTCCAGTTAGTGAGTGCATACATTATTGTAACTTTTTTTTTTTTTTTCATACCCCCCCCCGTGGGAATCAATCCCACAACCCTGGCGTTGCAAACGCCATGCTCTACCAACTGAGCTACATCCCCTGCCGGCCATTCCCTCCCCTACCCTAGACGACGCTGGGCCAATTGTGCGCCGCACCATGGGTCTCCCGGTCGCGGCCGGCTACGACAGAGCCTGGATTCGAACCAGGATCTCTAGTGGCACAGCTAGCACTGCGATGCAGTGCCTTAGACCACTGCGCTACTCTGGAGATTTCTGTCTCATCAGGGTTGGGGTCCAATCAGTAGTAAAATCAGTGAATTTGAATTTTTATTAACTTCTAGAATTTCTCCAGAATTGACCCCCCAACCCTCTGTCACTCACATGCTGCCCTTTGAAATGCTGATATGTTGTGTCATATCGGCTCATTGAATTAGAGCCAAGAACCATATCATTCTGATTCTGTTTCCGCCCACCAACATTTCACCAACGTGTAGCTTTCTGCAAAAGCATACTGACTATTTTTGATAAGACAATGTAATATGTATTATATACCAAAAAAGATTCCAAAATGTTTATGCAAAATAAATGTAGTATTCTATTGCTTAAAAAATATATTGTATTTGTAATCTTATTTTATTGAACTTGAAATAAATAAAAGCTATTTTATCAGCTGTAGTGAGTTGTTTGACCATTCCTTCCTGCTATAGAAAACCTTTGAGTGACATGGTTAGACTGTAAGATGTACTTTCACCTGTTACCACACAGGGGTAGCAAAGGGCTTATAATTAGTCACAAAGTAGCTCATTGGAAAAGGGCAGTACAATAATTGTTTTGCCTTACTTTAGAAATACAAAAAATTGAAGTTTGCATATGTCTACGAGATGTAATGTACTTATTTGTTCTGCCCAATCAGATTTGTTTGTATCATGGCAATTAACTTCAAAGATGTTTCAGAGGGATTTTACTTTCTTACTTACCATACTTTTTGTACTTATTGTACACACCCTTGTGATAACTGATGAGCAATAGTAAAACCAGCAAGCATGCAACATGCACCTTATAGTGGGCATCATGTGCTCTCAGACGACCACCACTAGATCTCTCTATGCCTCAGCTGTGGAGTGTATTCTGGTGCAGGCAGGTCTCTCCCATTAACACTCCCCCTTCCCATCCCTCCCCTCTCTTCAAGCCCAGATTCCCAGCCCAGGCCCGGCTCAGCCCGGCTGGCGGGACGTATGGGGTGGCACCATATGGCAGGACGCTGTGTGCCATGTTGGCTAGCTGGCACAGCCCCACGACACCACTCTCATGGGACTAAAGGCTCAGGTTACCATGGAGACCGGTGGCTTGTGGCCGTCACCATGGCAATAGATGGTGAGGGGGAAAGAGGAGTGGTCAGAGACCAAGGATTGGGTGATTGTGGTTCAAACCCTTGAGTTCTGGAGAATTCAATGGTTAACAGAATGAATAATTTTCAGATGGCTGGAGCAGGGAGTTGCAGGTTTTTAAGCAATATAGTTGTTATAAATGTCTTACACTGATGATGACTTGATTTCTGACCATCTCCATCACACCTGCAACACAATCTGAAGACAATAGACTAGAGCTGCCATGCGAAAGGCACACAGGAAATGCGCTTTACATCATGTCCCAAATAGTCTGAAACAGTTCCCTTTCCTTGTCTCCTTTCCTCTAAGACCTCTGATCTAATAGGACTTTACTGTCTCTGTAGTTATGAAGAGATTGGACAGGGGAGAGGTAGAGCGGAACACAGCCTTCATTTTAAGAGTAGGCGGAGGGTCAGTCAGTCACTTTACAGTCTAGATGGGTAGATTCAAATTGTCTCTAAATTGCAGAGTTAAAGCAGCACACTCAGACATAATCATGATGAGTGGCCCACTATTTAATTAGCTCCCATGAAACACTGAGGGGAGACGGAACAAGAGGACCCTCCCCCACATCTTCTGGGCTTCAATGGGCCTCGCTAGAGTAACCTACAATAGGAGGGCCTCGTCACAGAGCCAGAGATACATGTAAATGAAATAGCCCCATTAATTTGTAATTAACATCAAGTTAATGACAATGTCACTGTGTCGCCGTCTCATCGGATGTCCTTCCTTTGTGGCGGAGGGCCTACTCTACTGTATCCCCCCCCCCCCCCCCCCACTCTCTCGCCCTCTCTCTCTCTCGCCCTCTCTCCCTCTCCTGATCCCCTGATCAGAATGCTAATTAGTGGAATGCGAGTTAACGACTTTAAAAGGGACAGGGAGTTTATTAGGACTAACTAACGACATAAAGACCTAGTTAACGACTGGGCATTGTGTTGTGGAGGATTAATCATTCACTGGTAATAGATCAGGTGTTAGAAGTCCTGAGGTCCTCTGAGAGCCTTTGTATTGACATGGTTTAAACGCTAATTGCATTGCGCCTGTTAGCCTGATGTTAGGGATTTCAGCCTGATAGAACTAAAATATTTCCGGTGTAGCCTATGTCAGAAATAATGTGGTTTCAGCACAGCGAGAAAGGATGTTTGAATGTATACCTTTTCGTCAAATGTATTTTTGGTTGGCACTGCATGCATCGGGCACAACAATATGTTTTACGTGTCCTCTAAACCTACAGGTAACTGCCAAAATAAAGGAAACAGCTGAGTAAATGAGGGATACAAAGTATATTGAAAGCAGGTGCTTCCACACAGGTGTGGTTCCTGAGTTAATTAAGCAATGAACATCCCATCATGCTTTGGGTCATGTATAAAAATACCCAGGTGCCCATTATTTTGGCTACCATGGCTAGAAGAAGAGATCTCAATTACTTTGAAAGAGAGTTCTCAAAGGAGCATATGGGGTTCGAAGTGTGTTTGTGTGTCTCAGTAACCAGATCTCAAACCAATTGAACACTATTGGGAGATTCTTGAGTGGCGTCTGAGACAGCGTTTTTCCACCACCATCAACAAAACACCAAATTATGGAATTTCTCATGGAAGAATGGTGTGGGATCCCTCAAATAGAGTTCCAGACACTTGTAAAATCTATGCCAAGGTGCATTGAAGCTGTTTCTGGTGGCTCGTGATGGTCCAACGCCCTATTAAGACACTTTATGTTGGTGTTTCCTTTATTTTGGCAGTTACCTGTAGTTACTGGGTGCATTTGATTGAATAAGGTTTTTAATTAAAGTGCGTAGACTGCCCTATACTCACTCTCAGTTGTTCTTGGTCCCCTCCTGCCTAAATCAGCCCACTGCCACTTGTAAATTGTTGTGATTTGGCAGTGTGGATAACTGCATCTCTACTGTCCCCAGGGCAGGTTCCAGGTATAAGCAATAATTCTATGCGCCCCCCACCCCCCCCCCGACCATACAAAATAAAATGCAATTAGGAACTCAGTCAGGGTCTCAACCTACTATTGAGAGTAAGAATAGTAGAATACACCAGGTGCAATTTTGAAATTTGGCTGTGCAGCATCAAACCTCAGTCACTCAATTAGCCATTTCAGCAAACAATTTTTAGATTGGTAGTTAGTCTAGCCAGCTATCTAAACTTGAAGTAATCATGGCCGAATAACGACCGGGCACGCAGGGCACGTGCCACGCTAACCTCTCTCTCTCTCTCTTCATAATTGACCCTTCGGCGGAGAAGGGGGTAGCTGCAGCCCAATGTGGCGACCGGAGTATGGGTGAGTGGGTGTTTCTTACCAGGCAACTACCGTACATTGAGCTACCGTACCGCGAGAGTTTGCACTTCTGTTTTGAAGCCAAACAATGAGTCGTATTTCACTGTTAGTTTTACACAAATAATTGTACATTTTCAGTTATAAAACTGACAATAGTTTACTTTTTATTAAAAGTACTGATGATGGGTGTACGGTTACTTCATGCATTGTATGCGTGTGCTTGCTGTGACTGTCACCCTGATATTGGCAACTAGGTAGCTACTTCCCATGCCGTTGCCGGACAGTAGTGCTTGTCAAGGGGGAACGTAGGGCACTGTGTCCAGGTGTTGTTGCCGTTCATGCCATCTTTGACCTGATGAAGATCTGTTTCGGATCGAAATGTTGTCAATAAAGCAGTGAATTGGGAGCATAAACAGTGTGCGGGCCTTGCTGTTCTTTACAAGTATTCTTCATTAGTCCAGCACCTAAGTTTTTAAGGATTTGCGTATGACCACAAACGTTTCTATAGCCATTCATGCCCTCCCCAGTAGTAGACTGTATGTGTACTGTATATCAAGGTGACATCTAGATGGTTATTAGATATTATTTATTGTGTAGGCTGCCATCCCTACTTTAAATAAAATCATAGGAGGGAAGAAATTGCCACTTTAGCTACCGCCGGCGACATGACCGTGATACCAAGTAGGAAGCTCAGGTCGGCAGGCACGTCAATACAACACCGTTACACTGGTCGCCAGCTCGACTCTACTCGTCGTGCAGCCCAATCAGCCGAGAAGCCACGCAAAACTGTCTTGAGTGGCAAGAAATCTGCCCAATTAGCTGATTTTCTTTCAATACACCCACTCCTTTTAACACACCCACTCGCCCATATTCACCATATTGGGCTGCAGCTACCCATACTTGTTTTGGAGTGATTCCCTGATGCCCAAACAAAATCTCTTTGGCCCTATCTCTCTCACCCTCATTCCCTCTCTCTTACACAAATGCCGGCAGATATGTATATTTCTGTCAATTAAACCCTGTCAGCTGTTTGCCTCCTGCTAGACATATGGCCTCAGTTAAATATAAAGAGCAAACAGCGCAGGCATTGAGAGGGGCACCATTTTAATGGAACCCTTTGGGACAGGACCCACACCTTCCCATTCGTTTTTTTCAATCACGTTGGTGCAATTTTCACAAGTATGTGGTAAAATTTCACAACTTTTAGTACAAAACTCAAAACAGATCATCAAAAAGGCAGTTGTTTCAAAACTCTAAGGACATTTTCAATTTAATGATTACAGCATTTAAAATCATACAGTCTCTTTTCACCAAACTTAATCAGTGTTTCATCTAGAAATACATGTTTCACGTTGGTTCCCTGTGGGGCGGGGAACTCAGTCGGGCTTTCAACTTACTCCTGAAATTATAGTAGAATGCACAAGGGGCAATTTCGAATTGGGTAGTGCATCAGCAGTCTTCCTCTTTCATGTCAATTAATCAGACCTTACAGAGTTATTTATACAGTGCCTTCCGAATGTATTCATACATCTTGACTTATTCCACATTTTGTTGTGTTACAGCCTGAATTCAAAATGGATTAAATCATTTTTTCCCCCTCACCCATCTATACATGATACCCCACAATGACAGTAAAAACATGTTTTTAGAAATGTTTGGCGTTGCAGCCTGATAGAACTAAAATATTTCCGGTATAGCCTATGTCAGAAATAATGTGGTTTCAGCACAGCGAGAAAGGATTTCAATTGATACCTTTCTGACACCACCCCAGAATCCCAGTTTCCTGAACACCCCAAGACCCCAGAGCCCAGCATGGAGGAGCCCAGAGCTGACGGGAAACGCTGGGGCTCGCCAGGACTAGCTGTGCAGTTACACCCCAGCTACCCAGTCACGTCTGTCACTACCCGCAACCCTCCACTGGGACAACCCTCAGCACCACATTCAAGTCTTCGTGGACTCCGGGGCTGCGGAGAATTTCATGGACCAAGACTTCGCCAGAGAATTACAAATCCCATGTGTGAAATGTCCCATCCCTCTGCAGATTCAAGCCCTCGATGGACACCCCTTCGGCTCCGGCCAGGTGGAGTATCAGACCAAGCCCATTCTACTGCAGGTTGGGGTGAACCACTCAGAGACTCTTAGTTTTCTTTTGATCACTGCTCCCGAGAATCCCCTGATCCTAGGCTACCCCTGGCTACTGCTATATAACCCACTATTCTCCTGGTCCATGGGACACCTACTAGACTGGGGTAAGAACTGCCAGACTAACTGCCTAAGACCCCCACCAAGAGCCTCGCCGCAATCCCCAGCATCCCTCGAAGACCAAGACTTCTCCACTCTCCCTCCCGAATACTTTGACCTCCAGGAGGTCCTCTACATCCCCAGCTGGTGCAGGCTTCTTCTTTGTGGGAAAGAAGGATGGAGGTCTGCGTCCCTGCATCGATTACAGAGGGATGAACAGGATTATGATTAAGAATCGTTATACCCCACCCGTGATGTTCGCCGCCTTGGAGTTGGCCCAAGGGGCCCAATTCTTCACCAAACTGGACCTCTGCAATGCTTACAATCAAATGAGAATCAGGGAGAGAGATTAATGGAAAACTGCCTTTAACACCCCTAGTGGCCACTATTAGTATTTAGTCATGCCCTTCGGATTGTCGAACTCACCGGCAGTCTTCCAAGCATTGGTCAATGACACGCTTAGGGAAATGTTGAATCGGTTCGTCTTTGTTTACCTCGATGACATCCTGATCTTCTCCAAGACCCTTCCGGAACACATCCTGCACGTCCGCCAAGTCCTGAGAAACCTCCTGCAGAGTCAACTATACGTCAAGATAGAGAAGTGTGAGTTCCACGTATCCGAAGTTTCTTTCCTGGGTCACATTATCTCTACTGCCGGCATCCAAATGGACCCCGTAAAGGTTAAGGCAGTCACCGACTGGTCCCATCCCGCCTCACTCAAACAAGTCCAGCGGTTCCTCGGGTTTGCCCATTTTTACAGGCGTTTTATACGCAACTTTGGTGCGGTGGCAGCACCTCTCACGGTCCTAACCCGCAAGTTCCTGACCCGTTTTTGCTGGACCCCTGAGGCTGACAGGGCATTCGTGGAGCTCAAGGGACGTTTCACCTCCGGACCCATCCTCGTTCATCCTGATTCTACTTTCGTGGTAGAGGTGGACGCCTCAGACACCGGAGCAGGGGCGGTCCTTTCCCAGCGGAACGAGGAGGACAAGAAACTGCATCCAAGCGGTTCTCGCCTGCGGAACGCAACTACGATGTAGGCAACCGGGAGCTCTTGGCAGTTAAGTGGGCCCTTGAGGGGTGGAGACACTGGTTGGAGGGGGCACCTCATCCTTTCGTGATCTGGACGACCCATAAGAACTTGGTCTCCATTCAAGAAGCCAAGAGGTGAACGCTCGCCAGGCTAGGTGGGCTCTGTTTTTTAACAGGTTCAACTTCACACTAGCCTATCGCCCAGGATCCAAGAATCAGAAAGCAGATGCCCTGTCCCGCCAACATGATGTCTCTAACGAGGAGAGGGACTCCGAGCCCATCATCCCCAGCTCCTGCATTGTGGCCCCCGTGATATGGAGTATTGAGACCACGGTCTGACAAGCCCAGACCCGAGAACCTGACCCCTGTGGGGGTCCCACTAACAGACTTCATGTTCCGCGATCAGCCCGTTCCCGAGTACTACAATGGGGACACTCCTCTAAATTAACTGGGCATCCAGGGGTTAATTGGACACTGGAGTTCCTGAGGCGGAGATTCTGCTGGCCCAACATGACTGAGGATGTGAGATCCTTCATGACGGCCTGCTCCATCTGTGCCCAAAGCAAGTCCTCACAACAGCGAATGGCTGGGTTGCTCCAACCTCTGCTCATCCTCAGCCGGCCCTGGCCCCACCTGTCCGTAGACTTTATCACAGGGTTACCTCCATCCCAAGGGCTTACCACTATCCTGGTGGTCGTCGATCGGTTCTCCAAGGCAGCCCATTTCATCGCCTTACCCAAGTTACCCTCGGCAAGGGAGACCACGAATCTCATGATTACCCATGTCTTTCGACTACACAGACTTCCCCAGGACATTGTCTCAGATCGTGAGCCTCAGTTCGTTGCGCGGTATTGGAAGGCCTTCTGCTCCCTGTTGGGGGCGTTGGGGAGTCTCTCCTCAGGGTTCCACCCACAGTCTAATGGGCAGACAGCGGGTCAACCAGGAGCTGGAGAAGTTCCTCCGTTGTTTTGTCTCCACTCAGGCCATCAACTGGAGCAAGTTCCTCGTCTGGGTGGAATATGCTCACAACACTGCCGAACTTGTCCACTGGACTGTCGCCGTTCAAGCATCTATGAGGGTCTGTCCATCCTACCATGTCTCCCGTCTCAAGCTGGTAAGGACCAGTCTCTTCTTTTCCCCCACACCTGCCCCTCCGCCCCCTCGTCTTGTTGATGGTCGCCCGGCCTACACTGTCCTGCATCTGTTGGAGGCTCGTCAGGTCCGAGGTACCCTGCAGTACCTGGTGGACTGGGAGGGCTACGGTCCCGAGGAGCGGGTGTGGGTGCCTGCCCGGGACGTCCTGGATCCGGGACTGGTTCGGGACTTCAACCAACTAAGTGGTGGTCGCCCTGGCTCTGCGGCTGGAGCCGCTTCTAGAAAGGGGGTCTGTCATGGTTTCACCTGTCACCAGAGGGCGGCAGAGACCGTCCTAGAGACAATAATGATACAGGCGTGTTCAAATCAAATCAAATCAAATTTTATTGGCCACAGGCGCCAAATACAACAGGTGCAGACATTACAGTGAAATGCTTACTGCTGTTCTAGCCTAATTATGATTTCTCTTTTAAGAGAGGTGTGTTTTTTGTTTCCCTTTGCAGAAGCTTGATTCGTTTGCTATGTGCGTTTCTCTCCAGGGTGAGTTTTCTAGCCCTAGTGTTTGTTGTTTTCCCTGTATTACTGTGATCCTTCTGTTACCAATTCTCAGTAAAATATTTACATTTATCCTAAGCCACTGATTCCTTGTCTGGTCTCTTCTCAGCTCCTGGGTCCAACCTCATCACGTCACAATTTCAGCTTTTCATTTTTAATTAATTTGTAAACATTTCGGAAAACATAATTCCACGTTGACATTATGGGGTATTGATTTTGTTGTAATGTTTGAGTCACTTATATATCACATGAACACACATAAGACATGGCTAAATGTATAGAATTGCAGGAAATAAACTTTTAACCTGCTAAATGTTCTCTCTGCCAATGTTTCCCAATGATGGAAGAGGGGCACGAGAGAAAAACTTTGGAAACACTTGATATAAAGTAAATGCTCACATTACTATTGATATGATTGTCTTCTCATTTGTTAAAATACCTTTTAATAATACTTAATCCAACTGCTCTTAATTGATAATCATTCAATCGTTTAGTAAACCTATAGATTTTTAAATGGTTTGTCTATATACGTTTTTTGAGAACTACAGAATGAGAATGTATGTTTGTAAAGTATGATCATATAAAGTATTATACATATATTGTAATGTACAATTAGGATCATGACTACTATGATTTCACTTTACAAAATCTGATATTGATAAGAACAGAGATGTACTGTATGTAACAAATGCATCACTTACAGTAAGCATGTATCCAAAAGGAAGTTGCTGAGGGGTTTTCACACTGCTTCACTGAAATTGTATTGGTCAACAGAGTACTGTAATACATGCCATTTACATAGCAGACACTTTTGACTAAAGTGACAACAGTAAGTCCATACATTTTCTTATGTGACCCCAGTGGGAATCAAACCCACAACCCTGATGTTGCTGGTGCAAAGCTCTTACCAACTGAGCTACACAGGACCACAATAATACATAATACCATACAATACTGTAAAATACAATACATGATGATTACCATACATAATGACTACTTGTTATTGCTAATGATTTCACATAGTGGTATCCAGAATTGGTAACAATGTAAAAGGGGTGGTGTGAACACTTACAATTTCTTTCAACATGGAGCAGGATGCACAACATGTGCTTGGGCCACCGCAAGGGAGAGGAAGAAATCCCAGAGCTGGTGGACGTGGATAAGGGCCCCATCAGAGAGGTGACCAAGGGCCCAGTCAAATCAAATGTTAATTGTCACATACACGTAAGCAGATGTTATTGCGGTTGTAGCGAAATGCTTGTGCTTCTAGCACCGACAGTGCAGTAATATCTAACAATTTCACAACATATACCCAATACACACAAATCTAAGTAAGGAATGGAATGAAGAATATATAAATACATGGACAAGCAATGACAAAGTGGCATGGACTAAGACACAGTAGAATGTAATAGAATACAGTATGTACATATGAGATGAGTAATGCAAGATATGTAAACATTATTAAAGTGACTAGTGTTCCATTCCTTAAAGTGGCCAGTGATTTCAATAGGCAGCAGCAACCTCTAATGTGCTAGTGATGGCTATTTAACAGTGTGATGGCCTTGAGGTAGAAGCAGTTTTTCATTCTCTCGGTCCCAGCTTTGATGCACCTGTACTGACCTCGCCTTCTGGATGATAGCGGGGTGAACAGGCAGTGGCTCGGGTGGATGATGTCCTTGATGATTTTTTTGGCCTTCCTGTGACATCAGGTGCTGTAGGTGTCCTGCGGGGCGGGTAGTTTGCCCCCGGTAATGCGTTCGGCAGACCGCACCACCCTCTGGAGAGTCCTGCAGTTGCGGGCAGTGCAGTTGCCGTACCAGGCGGTGATACAGCCCGACAGGATGCTCTCCATTGTGCATCTGTGAATGTTTGTGAGGGTTTTAGGTGCCAAGCAAGATTTCTTCAGCCTCCTGAGGTTGAAGAGGCTCTGTTGCGCCTTCTTCACCACACTGTGTGACAGGTACTGAGGACACGAAGAGGCAGGTGGCAGACGCAGGAATCAACAAGGTAAAGGTTTACTTAACAATGAGAAAGAGAATAACAAAGAGCGAGTACAAGACACGACGCTAACAATTACACACAACAATGACTGAACAGTCCAGGGATATATAGTGGTGATGATGAGATGATGAGATGATGAGGTGCAGGTGCGCTGGAGGTGATTAGGGTGCGTTGGGTTTCCATTCCTGTGTTGCCGATGTTTGGTGCGCTCAGAGCGCCGGAGGGGAGAAATGGGAGGAGACGTGACAGTACCCCCCCCCCGCGGATTCGCGGCTCCCGCCGCAGGACGTCACCAACCATGAGAACGACACCGAGGATGAGGAGCGGGCCGGTCAGGGCGGCGACTGTGGAAGTCCCGAATTAGGTTGGGGTCCAGATTGTCTTTAGCCGGAACCCAGCTCCTCTCCTCAGGGCCATTCCCCTCCCAGTCCACCATGTAATGGAACCATCCCCCACGGAACCTGGAGTCCAGCAGGTCCCTCACAGCATACGCCGGACTCCCGTCAATGTCCAGGGGTGGAGAGACACATGAAAAGTAGGTGAGACACGGTAGTGAGGTGGAAGGAGCAGCCGGTACGACACCTCATTAATCAGCCGGCGGACCTTAAATGGCCCCACAAACCGGGGGCTCAGTTTCTTGCAGGGCAGGCGGAGAGGGAGGTTTCGAGTTGACAGCCAGACACGATCACCAGGCTGGAATACGGGAGCCTCACTGCGGTAGTGGTCAGCTTAGTCCTTTTGCCGACGAATGGCCCTCTAGAGACGGACATGGGCAGCAGACCTGTCCGGCCCTGCGGAACCACTCATCGACAGTGGGCGCATTGTCTGGCTGGGTGTCCAAGGGACCAGGGCCGGCTGGTACCTCAGGACGCATTGGAAGGGAGTGAGCCCCGTGGAGGAGTGAACGAGGGAGTTCTGGGCATATTCTGCCCAGGGAAGAAACCTCGCCCACTCCCCCTGCTGGTCCTGACAGTAGCAATGAAGAAACCTCCCCAGCTCCTGGTTCATGCACTCCACCTGCCCATTTGACTGAGGCCTATACCCGGAAGTGAGGCTGGCCGTGGCTCCAATCTTCTCCAGGAAAGCCTTCCACACTTGGGAGATGAATTGGGGGCCACGGTCCGAGACGATGTCCTCCGGAAGTCCATAGTGCCGGAAGACCTATGACCACCATGACTGTGGTGAAGCCGTCAGAACGTGGGAGGTCGGTGACAAAGTCTATGGACAGGTGTGACCAAGGTCGCTGAGGCACTGGTAGAGGAGCTAGTTTGTCTGCCCGGGGCGTTCCGAGGTGTCTTCATTTGGGCACATACGGAACAGGAGTTGACATAGCGAGAGACATCAGTAACCAAGGTGGGCCACCAGTATTTTTGTGATAGAGAATGCAGGGTGCGCGTAATTTTGGAGTGCCCTTCCCTAAGGGTGGTGTGTGCCCAGATCAGCAGGTGGTCACGGACACTGGTGGGTACATACACGCGCCCCAGAGGGGCATTGGCAGGCGCTAGGTCCTCCTGAGCCGCCAGGCAGATGTCTACGTCCACATCCCACACGACAGGTGCAACGATGAGAGACGGGGGCAGGATAGGACCCCCCAGATCCTTCCTTTCTCCGGTATGGTGCATCCTGGAGAGTGCGTCGGCTTTCACATTATGGGATCCTGGGCGGTCGAACAGAATGAACTGAAGGCGAGTAAGAAATTGGGCCCACCTGGCTTGACGAGAGTTCATCGGTTTCGCTTCCCGTATGTGCTCCAAATTCCGGTGGTCAGTAAGAATCCGGAATGGATGGACTGCGCCCTCCAGCCAGTGTCTCCATTCTTCCAGAGCAAGGACCACCGCCAACAGCTCCCTGTCTCCAACTCCATAGTTCCTCTCTGCGGGGGTACGTTTTTTAGAGAAAAAGGCACAGGGATACATTTTTTCTGGCTTATCTTGCCGCTGGGAGAGGACCGCACCCACGCCCTCCTCAGATGGATCTGGGTGTTTTAGGATGGGCGCTGTGGTGAACCTCTCCTTCAGCCTCTTGAAGGCAGCGTCAGCCTCAGGGTTCCAGGCCAGCTTCTGAGGTCCACCCTTAAGAAGAGAGGTGAGCGGGGTGGCTATGGCGCTGAAGGACCTGATGAAACGCTGGTAGAAATTGGCGAAGCCCAGGATGCTCTGTAGGCCCTTGATGGTGGTGGGGACTGGCCATGACCTGACCGCATCCGTCTTCTCTCTTTCCATGAATACCCCTGAGGACTGATCCTGTATCCCAGGAAGGAGATGGCTTTTGGTGGAATTCGTATTTCTCCCCCTTCACCAACAGGCTGTGTTCCCGGAGGTGGAGTAGGACAGCTCTGACGTCCCTGACGTGCTTCTCGAACGTAGCCGAGTAGATCAGGATATCGTCAATGTACACCACCACCTGTCTACTCAGCATGTCTTGGAACACGTCATTGACGAAGGACTGGAACACAGAAGGTGCGTTGGCGAGGCCGTAGGGCATGATGCAGTATTCATAGTGGCCTGAGGTAGTGCTGAATGCCGTCTTCCACTCGTCTCCTTCGCGGATTCGGATCAGGTTGTAGGCAAAGTACCGGGCCCCTCGTAGCTGCTCGATGGCTGACGGTAGTGTGGGAATGGTGATGGTGATGGGGAGAGTGACGTGCGTAATGGTGCCTGATCCAAGTGGTTTATTGTCCAGCGAGTTGATGTGTAGCGGAGAAGGCAGTGGCAAGGTGGGCAACCCCCATTCAGAGACTAGCTCCCTATCTATAAGTTTCCCCGCCTATCCGGAATCTATCATTGCAGTGGAAATGGAAGAGAAGGAATAACCAGTCACCGTTATGGGAACTAAAAACAATGGTTTTGTGATAGGAGATGACGTAACACTCACGGAGCGGCGACAGGAGTCATACCGCCTAAATTGGGAGCCGCCAGGAGATCTTTGGTCCGTGGTGGTTTAGGGGGTGCTGCCCACCTCCATGGGTGAGGACTCGGAGGCAGGGCGGCTTCCATAGCTCAGATGGGGTGAGCGTCGAGGCTCCAGGAGGTGTTGGGAAGGCAGTCTGTCTCTCAACATGTTGTCAAGACGGATGGACGTGGCGATGTGGGTATCAAGGTCCATCTCATCGTCCCGACATGCGAGTTCCGTCTTGATGTCCTCCCGTAAGCCTCTCCTGAAGGCCGTGTGCAGAGCATGCTCATTCAAGCCGGAAGACGCCGCCACCGTGCGAATGCTCAGAGCGTACTCGGACGCGGGCCCCTCTCCCTGTTGTAGCTGGAGGAGACGCTCACCCCCATCCTTTCCCTCCGTGGGATGATCAAACATCGCCCTGAACCGAGCGAGGAAGGTGGAGTAGGGAAGTGCCGCTGCCTCACCTCCTTCCCAGACTGCCGTGGCCCAATCCAGCGCCTTTCCTTTAAGTAGCAAAATCACCAGCGCTATCCTGGCTTGGTCAGATGGATATGCCCCAGGCAGACGTGCCAAAAAAAGTGAAACCTGTAGCAGGAAGCCGCTACATTTAGTAGTTTTACCATCATAGCGCTACAATAGGGCGAGGGGTCCCTCAGAAGTTGGTGATAGCAGGGGAACAGGTGGACTGGGTGCACTCGCCACTCCCTGAGGTGGAACCGGAGTGCTGGGCAAATTATGCAGAGTTTGGAGCACTTCCTGCATGGCGGCGTTCAACTGGGCAAGCTGCTGCTCGTGCTGGTCGAGGCGCTGGGAAACTCCAGGAGGATTATCTGCTGCATCCATTTTTGTGAGAGGTGTGTAATTCTGTGACGAGTACTGAGGATATGAAGAGGCAGCCGCAGGAATCAACAAGGTAAAGGTTTACTTAACAATGAGAAAGAGACTAACAAAGAGCGAGTAAACAACACGACGCTAACAATTACACACAACAATGACTGAACAGTCCAGGGCTATATAGCGGTGGTGATGAGATGATGAGGTGCAGGTGCGCTGGGTTTCCATTCCTGTGTTGCCGAGGTGGTGCGCTCAGACCGGTGGCTCAGTAGACCCGCGAATCAGAGCGCCGGAGGGGAGCAACGGGAGGAGACGTGACACACTGTCTGCATGGGTGGACCATTTTTCCAGGCCATCACAGTTGACCATGTTATAAACAGAGGTCTTACCATGGCAGAGGCTGCACGATTGGTACATCCTAACCTCAAAAGGTCAACAGTTAATTCTATCAATACGACATTTTCGTAAAGAAAACCGGTAAGTCTGCAGGATATGCACTTTGCTGCAAAATGACATATTTTAATGCATTTAAATTCACACAAAATAGTATAGTAAGTGTTGTATGTATGTTGATAGTACCTGTATTCTTATGATAGATTGACTGTATACTCCGCTCTACCCTCAGAAGTGACAGAAGGCCACATGTCGGCGGCCGAGGCCGTGTGCTGATCGACCAACAGGAGCAGGCAGTGGTGGAAATGGTGAGGGCGAGGAATGATATACGGCTGAGAGACAACAATGACACCTTTGCCAATGTGGCATCCATCAGCCTGTTTACAATAGGCCACCTTTTGAAGAGGCGCCAGGTATCTATGAAACAGATATACCTGGTGCCTTTTGAGAGAAACAATGGCCGGATGAAACAACTGCGGGCATAGTATGTTTAGGTTCAGCACCAGTGTATACTGTAATATTACTGTTACTATTTGATGCTCATGCTACTTCACATTATCATATTGTAATTGAAAATAACTAACCCAAATCTCTTTTTAGAGGGTGATGGATGCTTGATGTTGCTGTGAACAATTGCAAATACACATTTGTTGATGAAGCGGCCTTCAACCTGGCCAAAACTCGGTGTCGTGGGCGGAACCTCATCGGCCAACAGGTGACCGACCGTTCAAGTTCCTGGACAACGTGGGGGAAATATCTCCATGTGTTCAGCCATATCTGAAGATGGTTTGGTAGGGCATAGGCCTCTACTTGGGTCCAACAATGCTGCACACCTCCTCAATGAGATTTAGAAGGCCTGTCAAGGCGAAAGGGTCACCTATGTCATTGTGTGGGACAATGTCAGGTTTAAATCAAATCAAATCAAATCAAATGTTATTTGTCACATGCACCGAATACAACAGGTGTAGACCTTACAGTGAAATGCTTACTTACAAGCCCTTAACCAACATTGCAGTTTTAAGAAAAGAAAAAAACAGATAACTACAAAATAATTGAAGAGCAGCAGTAAAATAACAGTTGCGAGGCTATATACAGGGGGTACCGGTACAGAGTCAATGTGCGGGGGCACAGGTTAGTTGAGGTAATTGAGGTAATATGTACATGTAGGTAGAGATAAAATGACTATGCATAGATAATAAACAGAGAGTGGCAGCAGCGTATAAGAGTGGGTGGGGATGGGGCGGGAACAATGCAAATAGTCTGGGTAGCCATGATTAGCTGTTCAGGAGTCTAATGGCTTGGTGGAGAGGCTGTTAAGAAGCCTTTTCGACCTAGACTTGGCGCTCCGGTACCGCTTGCCGTGCGATAACAGAGAGAACAGTCTATGACTAGGGTGGCTGCAGTCTTTGACAATTTTTAGGTGCCTTCCTCTGACACTACCTGGTATAGAGGTCCTGGATGGCAGGAAGCTTGGCCCCAGTGATGTACTGGGCCGTACGCACTACCCTCTGTAGTGCCTTGCGGTCGGAGGCCGAGCAGTTGCCATACCAGGCAGTGATGCAACCAGTCAGGATACTCTCGATGGTGCAGCTGTATAACTTTTGGAGGATCTGAGGACCCATGCCAAATCTTTTCAGTCTCCTGAGAGGGAATAGGCTTTGTCGTGCCCTCTTCACGACTGTGTTGGTGTGTTTGGACCATGATAGTTTGTTAGTGACGTGGACACCAAGGAAGTTGAAGCTCTCAACCTGCTCCACTACAGCCCTGTCGATGAGAATGGGGGCGTGCTCGGTCCTCTTTTTCCTGTAGTCCGCAATCATCTCCTTTGTCTTGATCACCTTGAGGGAGAGGTTGTTATCCTGGCACCACACGGCCAGGTCTCTGACCTCCTCCCGATAGGCTGTCTCATCGTTGTCGGTGATCAGGCCTACCACTGTTGTGTTGTCGGCAACCTTCATGATGGTGTTGGAGTGCCTGGCCATGCAGTCATTGTTGAACAGGGAGTACAGGATCGGACTGAGCACACACCCCTGAGGGGCCCCCGTGTTGAGGATCAGCGTGGCAGATCTGTTGTGACCTACCCTTAGCACCTGGGGGCGGCTTGACATGATGTACAGGATCCAGTTGCAGAGGGAGGAGTTTAGTCCCAGTGTTATGTGGGCAGCTTGTCTCTCCCTTTTCTGTTTCCCTTCCTCCTTGTTTTGTCCCCTCTTTGTCTGTTGTATCTGTATGTGTGTTTGTCCCCATTATGTTGGTGCGTCTGCCGGTGTGTGTCTGGAGTGGATCGGGGGGGCGTGCTCAGGATCTGCCTCTCCTGTGCATCCTATTCTCTCATCAACCTGCATTACTAATTCCTGGGCATGGCTCTCCACCGGCGCCAGATCGTTGTTCTTACTAGAGCGGTAACTTGGCTCACCAGTAGAGTTAAATTGTCTTTGTCTTCAGCCTGGCTCTTTACTCTCCTTAACCTGTCGTTTGTTTTGTCTTCAGTTCAGACATACCTCCCAACCTGCCTGCCTGCCTTCCTGCCTGCCTGCCTGCCTGCCTGCCTGCCTGCCTGCCTCAGCCTCTCCTTCCTCCGGAGCCGACTAGCCCACTCTGTTCCTTTTCTTCAGTTGTTTTTGGACTAAGACAAATTGAACTTTTATTAAAATAATTTTTGTTTCTTCCACTCCCTTAGTCGTGTTCTGTTTCTCTGAGTGCTGGGTTTAACCATAGCGTAACACCCAGGGTCCTTAGCTTAGGTATGAGCTTTGAGGGCACCATGGTGTTGAATGCTGTGCTGTTGTCAATGAATAGCATTCTCACGTAGGTGTTCCTTTTTTCCAGGTGGGAAAGGGCAGTGTGGAGTGCAATAGAGATTGCATCATCTGTGGATCTGTTGGTGCGGTATGCAAATTGGAGTGGGTCTTGGGTTTCTGGGATAATGGGGTTGATGTGAGCCATGACCAGCCTTTCAAAGCACTTCATGGCTACAGACGTGAGTGCTACGGGTTGGTAGTCATATAGGCAGGATACCTTAGTGTTCTTTGGCACAGGGACTATGGTGGTCTGCTTGAAATATGTTGGTATTACAGACTCAGACAGGGAGAGGTTGAAAATATCAGTGAAGACACTTGCCAGTTGGTCAGCGCATGCTCGGAGTACACATCCTAGTAATCTGTCTGGCCCTGTGGCCTTGTGAATGTTGACCTGTTTAAATGTCTTACTCACATCGGCTACGGAGAGCGTGATCACACAGTCGTCCAGAACAGCTGATGCTCTCATGCATGCTTCAGTGTTGCTTGCCTCGAAGTGAGCATAGAAGTAATTTAGCTCGTCTGGTAGGCTCGTGTCACTAGGCAGCTCGCAGCTGTGCTTCCCTTTGTAGTCTGTAATAGTTTGCAAGCCCTGCCACATCTGACGAGCATCGGAGCCGGTTTATTACAATTCAATCTTAGTCCTGTATTGACGCATGCCTGTTTGAGGGCATAGCGGGATTTCTTATAAGCGTCCGGGTTAGAGTCCCGCTCCTTGAAAGCGGCAGCTCTACCCTTTAGCTCAGTGCGGATGTTGCCTGTAATCCAAGGCTTCTGGTTGGGGTATGTACGTCAGTCAATGTGGGGACGACGTCATCGATGCACTTCTTGATGAATCCAGTGACTAATGTGGTGCACTCCTCAATGCATCGGAAGAATCCTTGAACATATTCCAGTCTGTGCTAGCAAAACATTCCTGTAGCTTAGCATCTGCGTCATCTGACCACTTCTTTATTGACAGAGTCACTAGTGCTTCCTGCTTTCGTTTTTGCTTGTAAGCAGGAATCAGGAGGATAGAGTTATGGTCAGATTTGCCAAATTGAGGGCGAGGGAGAGCTTTGTATGTGTCTCTGTGTGTGGAGTAAAGTTGGTCTAGAGTTTTTTTTCCTCTGGTTGCACATTTAACATGCTGGTAGAAATGAGGTAAAACGGATTTAAGTTTCCCTTCATTAAAGTCCCCAGCCACTAGGAGCGCCACCTCTGGATGAGCGTTTTCCTGTTTGCTTATGGCCTTATTCAGCTCATTGAGTGCGGTTTTAGTGCCAGCATCGGTTTGTGATGGTAAATAGACAGCTCCGAAAAATATAGATGAAAACTCTCTTGGTAAATAATGTGGTCTACAGCTTATCATGAGATACTCTATCCATGTCGTCGTTCAGCCACGCCTCGGTGAAACATGCAGTGGTGGTTCAGGCATGGTTTCAGGCCCATCCCCGATTCCTGACCCTGTACCTGCCCCCATAATCTCCTTTCCTCAATCCTATCGAGGATTTATTTTCAGCATGGAGGTGGAAGGTGTATGATCACCATCAACATGAGTGTGCCACCCTCCTTCAGGCCATGGATGAGGCATGCGGTGATATCAACCCAGACAAATGTCAGTCTTGGATTCGCCTGCCAAAAGGTTTTTAACCAGGTGCATGAACAATGAGGACATTCACTGCGATGTCGATGAGAACCTTTGCCGAAATGCTCAAGACAGGCTTGATGCAAACTAGTGCCAGCTAACTAGTTTCTTTCTTTCTTTCATTTATTTCCTTTGTTAATTGAATTTGTTACATTTGATTACAGTACACATATGTTGTAATCAATGTTTTCAATGACCACACCTTTATTCACACATGGGATAGAAATGATGGAAATGAAAAAAAAATTCTGATGGGTAGTGCAAGTGTATAACCTAATGTGAAACCTGGGTAATGTACTGTAATTTACAGTACTGTAGCATATTACTTTTAGCACTTCAAAGGACAATTTTGAAACGTGTATCTTCCATTTTTGCTGTTGGGTTAACTGATTGTTAAAACAACTAAATTGAGAAGATATCATTATGTTGTGTTTTGGTGATTAAACCAATGTTCTCATTATATTTCACAGTAAACACGAGCCCTGTGTAGCTCAGTTGGTAGAGCATGGCGCTTGCAACGCCAGGGTTGTGGGTTCGATTCCCATGGGGGGCCAGTATGAAGAAAAAAAAAAAAAAAAAAAAATGTATGCACTCACTAACTGTAAGTCGCTCTGGATAAGAGCGTCTGCTAAATGACTAAAATGTAAACATGTACTGTATTTTGGCTCAATGGTTTTGTGGGGAAAGATGTCTCCAAACAAAATGAATGCACAATGAGAGGTTTTGATTGTAAGACCGTCTGTGTTTCAAGTGTGTCTAAGAGTTTTCAAAATTCACCACATACAGTACTTGTGAAAATAGCACCAAAGGGATTGAAAAACTGTCATAACATAAACCACTATCAGCCCTGTGGCCAGATGAGGACAGTGTGTGTGTGTGTGTCTGCTCCCTCTCTTTACGTGTAAGTTAAGTTTCAGTTGGTTTTCTGCTACCATCATGGGGCCTATAATCATATACTCTACCTACCTGGCTAGTGGCCACAGTTGCTTTGCTTGACATACTCTAATACTTTCAAAAGTATTTGGTCTGTAACAGAAAGAAACTCATCATAACAAATGTTGAAGGAATATAATTTTAGGAAACAATATAGTGTGTGTTGCCTTCGGCACTGAGTTATCATATGCTCAGTTTTGAAATGACAGAGAAATACAGAAATTCTCATGGAACAATGGTTAAATACTGAAAGTAATTAGACCACTGCAAGTCATACTGAATTGATTGTTCTTGCTTATAATGTTCATGAATGTTTATAAATGCTGAAACACTCATTTATCAACAGTATGTACACTAATTATGAATGTTTCTATTTGCTTCAATTTGTTTATGTTTTCCAGAGGTGTTAATAAAACTATTGGATTCAGTTTGGACATGCACAAGGAGGTTAAATATAATATTCCCTCCATCCCTCTCTTCCACCCCTCCACTCATGTCTTTTTCAGCCCTCCCTGGCTTCACACAGCAACCCTCTCTGCTCACATCTCCAGCACCACCAGATTTTCTTCTCTTTTCCCTCCCCTCTCGCTCTACTAAAGTTTGGCTGTCAATCAGCAGTGGCCTCGGGCAACAGGCACTGATGAAAAGGCCCCTGAGACAAGAAGACCCACATTAGATTTCAATAAGGACATTGAATATTCATATCGGGGAAACATCTAAAGGTAAATGCTTTTGATCTCTGCGCACAAATATCACTGTTTTTTCCAGCAGGGTCCGGCCCCAGTCCCGGCCTCGGCTCCCCCTGTCCTCCGGGGGATGCGGTGGAATAATGATGATGGAGCTACAAAGGACAAAAAGAGCCATAATGAATGTTTATACTAAAGGGACTCAATAGAAAGGGCACCCGCACTAAGTATTCAGTAATTAGTATTTAGCAGAAGTTGATCGCTACAGTACACACACACACACACACACACACACTAGGCAGAGCCAACAGGGCAACCAGTCATTTACTCTAAAAACTTTAGACGGGGCAAAAGGTAACCTCCCCTGACAGCCACAGTCAAGACACAGTTTAATTTTCCTGTCAACGTGTTTACTTTCTTTTTTTAATTGACTCCAGTTTCTAATGTTTATGGAAATGTCATCAGAATACATGATGGGATTGTTTCATTTCCACAAGCACTTAGTTATCTTGCTCATTAGCCTTGTGTAAAAAAAAAACACTAACTAGACTATCAATATAGCACATTATTAATTAAATATGTCTCTATTAGCTGACCTTTTGCACATGGTGGTAATTAGTATGTATAAGTCTAAAGAAAGGCCTTCCCACACTCTATGTCGGATTCAGTCTTTTACGACTATTACATGTCATACTGTGCGATGTTAAAGGTCCTGAACAGTCATTCTGAAAGTACTTTTTCTCACATGGCAAACTACCAGGAAGTTTGAAAAGACAGGCTGAGTGGGCAGGGAGCTAATATTCATGAGCTCGCCTTGACTGACAGCTCTTTGAAACGCCTATGTCAAGTAACTTGGATGCAGTGAGCAGTGTTGAGGTAAAATAATCTCAAGCTAATTTGGTGATACACAAAGCAACTCAAACAACATTGAAATTGCATCAATTATGTCAATTCTTTTTATACATCTCCTGTTTGGAATGTCTCTTACGATACGGTTCACAGCAGCACTGACGGATCTGTTGACTTGACAACTGCGTCTGAATGTTGAATGACCCATCCCCCACTTTTGTTCCATGCTGGCTGTAGACCTAGCTAGCCAGTAACTAGCTAACACCAGACACAGGTGAAAGGGGAAACATATAAGTATCTTTGCCATAGATTAATAGGGTAAACCTAACTCCAGGGGTCACCCAAACCTTCCCCAAAAGAAAAAGAAAAACAGTACTTTCATCTCATGCTATTCTTCACATTTTTCTAGGAGGATGAGTGAGAGAAGATCTTGCAGTTTTAAAGCTAATTTGCTATTCTACACATTTTGCCATTGCTTATGACATGTTCATATGCTATTTGGGGGGCCCCTGACCTCCAACATAATATATTATTTTTTGGGTTGGAGGCCCCATTGAGGTCGGGAGCCCCGGGGCACGTACCCTGGATGACCGTTCGGTAATCCAGCCCTGCATAACACCAGCCACATTACACAATAAAGGCAAAAAAAATTGGAGAGTGCCAGAACTTTGTCGGCGCCTACGACCGCACATAGTGCTACTTAATTCCGAAGTGTTACTTAATTGGCAGACCTAGCCCCTGTCACACTGAACGAGCCAAGACGTCCGACAATTGTTTATGACCTAAGAATTTGCCCACAACATGGACACAACATCGTGGCATAAGAAGGGTAAAATCGTACAGTCTGTGCGGGCCTTTAGTCACTTACTGCAGTTACTATACTGTTTTATTAGTCTAAATAAAAAGATCTACTTGTTAATATGACAGAAATGTATGAAAAAAAATAACAATATGAATTCTTCAACCTTACTAAATGGTATCCAGAGAACTGTGACTGAACTAGTTGTCAGTGAATGCAGGTCTGTGTCTGAGATACAAATGAATCACTCTGTAGCAATCATCGTTACAGTAGTGCATGGCTCTGTCAAATAGGCCCATGTAGGCCCTTTATTCCTTGTAGTCTCTGACATCTAAGAGGAAGGGAAGCGAGTGGGGATGGGGAGGGGCACTGCCTGAGGCACTCTCTCCACAAAGAGTCCACCCTGCTTGGGCACACACTGAGGACTTTTCCTTGACGAGATGGAGGTACAGTACTGACTGATGAAGACAGTGAGAATCCATTTAATAGAACTGACCAATCCTCACATTCATAATTGGTGTGTGTGTGTGTTTCATGCTTTTTTCTTCTAAATGCCAAAATCGGATGCAATAAAAGTCACCAAATGTATTGCATTTCTTTCTGTTTCATAGATCTTCTTTGCTCTCTCTTCTTGTGTTTCTCTTTATCTTCTTACAAGATGATAGTCCCTCCATTGCCAGGCAATCTGGTCTGTCCTGTTTACACGTGTGTTTACCCACAGTTTTTTGTTAATGTTTTTGGATTTCTGACAAGAAACATGGCAATCCAGACCTCCCTCCTTACTAGTGCTCTTGTAGGTTGCAATGGAGTGTGTTTGTATGTGTGAGAGTTCAAACTTGGATGTTTTTGCACATGTACGTATACAGTATGGGTGTGCACTTGTTGGTTGGTTGGTGTGTGTGTTTGTGTGTGTTTATACAACGGGTGGGTCTGATCCTGAATGTTGATTGGTTAAAACCGCATTCCAGCCGGTGTCTATTCCAGAAGTTGCCACCGGCTAAATCTATGACGTTAAAATGCCTATTTCCTCTGTTCCATCTGACTGAGCAATCCACTGTCTCATCAGCCCAGCCAGGCAACGTATAAACTTGATCTCCACTATGAAAAGCATCTACACATTATCTCACATTTCTAGCATTTCGTTTTCAACAGCGGAGATTTGTGTAAACCTTGCTGTTCGTCTCTCCGACATTTGCAACATTGTTTCAATATTGAAATTCGATCTCCTGCTGTCCGGTAGTAATGGTAGTAATGAACGTGTCGGGAGTCGGGACGAGACAGACAGGCAGGCAGCGTTTCTCAGCCAGTCTAAATCATGAATAATCTGGCATCAATTGTATGGATATATACATAAAAATGTCAATTAAAAAAAGGTACTACGAACCACAGCTAATTTGCAGTCTTTCCAGCTTCAGTTTGAAGTGATTGTTACTGTAGCTGTGCTGTTGGCTACCTCCTCTGAACAACAGTGTCCTGACGAGTGAGCACATTTTCTATGCCAGGCAAAATCGCGCCTCATTAGCAAATTGTTATGGATGTATCCAAATAAATGTCACTAGAAAACAGCCTAAACAAATGCAAATGCAGCTACTTTGCTGTTATTCTGGCTGCACTTTTTGACATGACTGTAAGTTAGCCGTAGTTGGCTAGCTAGCAAGCAAGGGATGAGAACGTTGCCAGCCAGTATGGCAATGGAACATTTAGAATGAACGACTGTGTCGCGTCCATAGATACAGGTGTGTGTGTGTGAAGGGAAAGGGAAGGCCTTAGCTACCAATGTTGTTATGGGTGTTGTGTCTTAATTCTGTGGAGGGCGTGGGATTCAGTGTGTGTGCTTGGAGGAGGGACTGTGCAGTAGTGTTAGGGGATGTAGAGGTGCCTTCCCAGCAAACCAAAATTGGTTCTGTGAAAATTCCCAAAACATTCGTTAGGTTGCAGCAAATGTTCTCATAACACAAAAACTGTCCAGCTGTGCTGATGATTATACAATGTTTGTATAAAACATTTGCCTGACTTTGCAAGAATGTTCCCAGAACACATTGCATCTGTTCTTTAAAGGTTCCCAGAATGTTTCATTAGGTTGTGGGGACAGTCTGGTGGGAACATTGTGGGGACATCACAAAATATATGTTGTCATAACACAAAAACTGTCCAGTTGTGCTGATGATTATAATGTTTCTATTAGGTTGAAAAAACACTCCCAGAACAAATGTTTTATGTTCTTTAAAAGTTCCTAAAACATTTATTTAGGTTCTGGGAACATTGTGGGGATATGACAAGAGATTCAACATTTTATGTTGCAAGAATGTTGACAGAATAGCTGCTCTGAGTTATTTAAAGGTTCCCAGAACATTTATTTAGGTTGTCGGAACAAGAGATAGGTTCCCAAAACACCAAATCTGTCCAGTTGTGATGACATTCTTACAATGTTTGTATCAGGGTGCACAAAACATACCCTCAATGTTCTTAGTATGTTATTCCTATGTTCCCAGAATAATACAATTACGTTTTGAACAGTCCATGGAGGCTTCTTTCATGTGTTAGTGTTATCTTACTGTTGAAAAAATGTGTTGTACAACAATCCATGTAGAAACACATATGCCTTGTTTGGAATCTCATCATAATTTATTAGACATTTATTCTACAAACATAGTTTTACTGTATTTTGTTGATTGTCTCAATCTGGGAGCTTTGGAGTGTTATATTTGGAATTGATCCACTGCGCCACTGTGATGGGACTAACACAAATATACATCTGTTTACACCTTTACTGTGACTTCCAAGTTGTGGTCTACACTATATATACAAAACAATGTGGACATCCCTTCAAATTAGTGGATTCGGCTATTTCAACCACACAGGTGTATAAATTCGAGCAAACCGCCATGGAATCTCCATAGACAAACATTGGCAGTAGAATGGCCTTACTGAAGAGCTCAGTGACTTTCAACGTGGCACTGTCATAGGATGCCACCTTTCCAACAAGTCAGTTCGTCAAATTTCTGCCGTGCTAGAGCTGCCCCGGTCAACTGTAAGTGCTGTTATTGTGAAGTGGAAACATCTAAGAGCAACAACGGCTCAGCCGCGAAGTGGTAGGCCACATAAACTGATAGAACGGGACCTCCGAGTGCTGAAGCATGTAACACGTAAAAATCGTCTGTCCTCGGTTGCAACAATCACTACCGAGTTCCAAACTGCCTCTGGAAGCAACGTCAGCACAATAACTGTTTGTCGGGAGCTTCCTGAAATGGGTTTCCATGGCCGAACAGCTGCCCACAAGCCTAAGATCACCATGCACAATGCCAAGTGTCGGCTGGAGTGGTGTAAAGCTAACCACCATTGGACTCTGCCCGAATGCATAGTGCCAACTGTTAAGTTTGGAGGAGGAGGAATAATGGTCTGGGGCTGTTTATCATGGTTCGGGCTATGCCCCTTACTTCCAGTGAAGGGAAATCTTAATGCTACAGCATACAATGACATTCTAGACAATTCTGTGCTTCCAACTTTATGGCAACAATTTGGGGAAGGCCCTTTCCTGTTTCAGCATGACAATGGCCCCGTGCACAAAGCGAGGTCCATACAGAAATGGTTTGTTGAGATCAGTGTGGAAGAACTTGACTGGCCTGCACAGAGCCCTAACATTTTACATTTTAGTCATTTAGCAGACGCTCTTATCCAGAGCGACTTACAGTTAGTGAGTGCATACATATTTCATACCTTTGGGATGAATTGGAACGCCGACTGCGAGTCAGGCCTAATCGCCCAACATCAGTGCCCGACCTCACTAATGCTCTTGTGGCTGAATGGAAGCAAGTCTCCCGCAGCAATGTTCCAACATCTAGTGGAAAGCCTTCCCAGAAGAGTGGAGGCTGTTATAGCAGCAAAGGGGGGACCAACTCCATATTCATGCCCATGATTTTGGATTGAGATGTTCGACAAGCAGGTGTCCACATACATTTGGTCATGTAGTGTAAACCTAGAAAAATAAGTATCCTCTATCATGTATTACTCTACCAATATTCTTTATATACTGTAAAGTTGGGATGTTTTTACTTTAAATTTGATTTCAGAAATCATGTTAAATTATTGCCTGACAGATTGCGATGTGTACATAGATGTGCATATGAACTAAGATGTATAGCCATAGTTTGGATCATAATTTAAGGATTTCAGTATCAAGGGAAATCCACTCTAAATATTAGGATCCTGGTGGCGCAGCAGACTAAGTAGCTTACAGGGCTCGAAGATGCAGATCGCAGGTTCGAATCTACTTCATCACCATTATTTAAAAAAGCTATAGCTATGTTTAGACAATACCCTAATATGATGATGTAAGAATACTGAAATACCATTTCTTTAAATGTTTGGCAACTTCATATAATAATGTTACATTACACATCAATATTAGCAGAACATTCCAGCAATGTTTTCAGAACTACTTACATTATCGTTGAAGTATGTTTTTAGAACAATTCTGGATCATCTTTTCATAACCTTACAGAATAACTTTATAAGAGTCCTTCAGGAATGTTTCTTGTTTGTTGTTAAAGGTTTTAGAAGTAATATCTCCATCAACATTAGCAGAACGTTCCCGTAATGTTTCCTCAGAACCACTTCTATTAGAAATCTTAAGTAATGTTCTGGGAATGTTCCTGGTTCGCTGTGTTAGGTATCACTGCGATAGGTGGAAAGGGATAGAGCCAGGTGTTTTTGGACTTCAGACCCATGCAATGTGTTTTTGCATGCGTCTGTGTGTGTGTATGTGTGTCCCCATGTGTGTGTGTTGGGACCCCAGGTCCTGTGGCGTGGTGCTGTGATGCTGGGTGTCACACTGCTCCAGCCAGAGCCCTGCAGCCACAGAGAGAACCAGCTGTGGCACTGACAGGTATATCTGCCACACTCACCCTCTTCTTACATCCTTACACACACAAACGCACACAGGCATGCAGGCATGCACGCACGCAATCACACACACACACACACACATACACACACACAAACACAGTCTAACCTGCAGGCAGTCTCTCTCTCTGGCCAACAACAAACACAAAGTGAAAGGGATAATTTTCTCTGAGAGGTGCTGGTGAGTTGCTGGTCAGAACGTGATCACAGCTCGTCCATAGAAAACTAGGAGAGAGACTGTGGAAAGATTCAAGATTCCTAGTAGGCTTTTATTTATGTTCTGGTCTCTTCTACCTCTCCTCAATAGTGACAGTGTACACTAAGGTACTATCTATATGGATTCTAAAACTTGTTCTTGAGTAATTGGTGAAATATGTAGATCGATGTGGAGGTATTTGATAAAAAATTCATGAACTAGGCAATCCTCCGGCAGGACTGTACAGTATCAGTATGCCTTACATTATCACATTTGCCCATGTTTTTTGCCTAGTATAATGCGTGTTTCCATTGCTGTTTCCATATTATGTAGGTCAATGAGAACATGCAGCATCGCCAAGAGCAACTGAACCAGTGGTCCTGGAAAACCTGATGATCTCGCCTCAGGAGAGATAACTGCTGTGTGCACCTTCCCTCACACCTAGCTCACACACACACATATGTGTGTGCACGCATATGTGTGTGTGTGTGTGTGTGTGTGTGTGTGGTAGTGAAAAGTGCCATGTGTATCCAGGTGTCTGGCTGTTCAATAGCACCCTTCAGATGTCACAACGATGAAAATCAATCGTCTGAACAGGATAGAGTAGGCTGCAGGTGGCAGACACTTGTGTGTTTAAGTGTGTGTGTTTGTGTGTGTGTGTGTGTGTGTGTGTGTGTGTGTGCGTGCCTGTGTGTGCATGTGTTGCTATATGTTCTTGGAGGGCGAGGGTGGGAAAGGCAACTTCAGGAATCACAACACAGAAAAGACAGAGAAAGGATAGACAAAGTGTGATGTCATCCTCAGTATATATCAGCCAAACAGAATTCACAATTGTTGTAATGTAGAACCCCTCTACACCAAGCAACACCACCCCCCAACCCATACACACACATACACACAGTCACAGACCCAAACACACTTTTTTGGTTCAGTCGTGCAGCCAGATGTCCAAGTTGACATAGCGCTTAAGGCGTTTGACTGGATGAAAGGCGGCGCTGGCTGTGGGTAAAGAGGGATTAAAACAGGGCCCGAGGCGCTTGTGTTATATTGAAAACATCCTGGGCTGCTTTGGATGGAGATTTGCATACATTGGGTCTGTACGGGGCCTGCCCATCTGCTGGAGTGCATTGTCCCCAAACAACAAAGTGTGTTTAAATATTTCACATCTCCATCTATTGGAAGGGATGGAGGGAGAGATACAGAGAGATGGAGGGAGAGATACAGAGAGATGGAGGGAGAGATACAGAGAAATGGAGGGAGAGATACAGAGAGATGGAGGGAGAGATACAGAGAGATGGAGGGAGAGATGCAGAGAGATGGAGGGAGAGATACAGAGATGGAGGGAGAGATACAGAGAGATGGAGGGAGAGATACAGAGACATGGAGGGAGAGATACAGAGAGATGAAGGGAGAGAGAGAGATGGAAGGAGAGATACAGATAGATGGAGGGAGAGATACAGAGAGATGGAGGGAGAGATACAGAGAGAAGGAGGAAGAGATTCAGAGAGATGTAGGGAGAGATACAGAGAGATGGAGGGAGAGAGAGAGTTGGAGGGAGAGATACAGAGAGATGGAGAGAGAGATGAGGAAGAGATACAGAGAGATGGAGGGAGAGATACAGAGAGATGGAGGGAGAGATACAGAGAGATGGAGGGAGAGATACAGAGAGATGGAGGGAGAGATACAGAGAGATGGAGGGAGAGAGATGGAGAGAATCAAGAGATGGAGGGAGAGATACAGAGATGGAGAGAGAGATAAGAGAGAGAGGAGGAGAGATACAGAGATGGAGTGAGAGATACAGAGAGATGGAGGGAGAGATACAGAGATGGAGAGAGATCAGAGAATGGAGGGAGAGATACAGAGATGGAGGGAGAGATACAGAGAGATGAGGAGTGAAAGAGATGGAGGGAGAGAGAGATGGAGGGAGAGATACAGAGAGATGGAGAGAGAGATACATAGAGATGGAGGGAGAGATACAGAGAGATGGAGGGAGAGATACAGAGAGATGGAGGGAGAGATACAGAGAGATGGAGGAGAGAGAGATGGAGGAGGATAAGAGAGATGGAGGGAGTACAGAGAGATGGAGGGAGAGATACAGAGAATGGAGATGGAGAGATACATAGAGATGGAGGGGAGAGATACAGAGAGATGGAGGGAGAGATGACAGAGAGATGGAGGGAGAGAGATGGAGGATGAGAGATACAGAAGATGAGGATAGAGAGAGATGGAGGAGATACGAAGAGAGATGGAGAGAGATGATAAGTAGAGAAGAGAGATACAGAGAGATGGAGGGAGAGATACAGAGAGATGGAGGAGGATCAGAGAGATGGAGGAGAAGATCAGAGAGATGGAGGGAGAGATACAAAGAGATGGAGGGATGAGAGAGAGGTGGAGGGAGAGATACAGGAGAGATGGAGGGAGAGATGAGGGAGAGATAAGAGAGATGGAGGAGAGATCAGAGAGATGTAGGGGAGAGATACAGAGAGATGGAGAGGTAGAGAGAGAGATGGAGGGAGGAGATAGAGATGGAGGAGGAAGAGATACAGAGAGATGGAGGAGAGATACAGAGAGAGATTGAGGGAGAGATACGAGAATGGAGGGATATGAGAATAGAGAGATGGAGGGAGATAAGAAGATGGAGGAGAGATACAAAGAATGAGGGAGAGTACAGAGAATGGAGGGAGAGATACAGAGAGATGGAGTGGAGAGATACAGAGAGATGGAGGAGAGATCAGAGAGATGAGGGAGAGATACAAGAGATGGAGGAGAGATAAGAGATGGAGGGGATACAGAGAATGGAGGGAGAGATACAGAGAGATGGAGGGAGAGATACAGAGATTGAGAGAAGATACGAGAATGGAGGGAAGATACAGAGATAGGATGGGAGAGATACAGAGAGATGGAGGGAGAGATACAGAGAGATGGAGGGAGATAATGCAGAAGATGGAGGGAGATAGAGATGATGGAGGGAGAATACAGAGAGATAGGAGAGATAGGAGAGATACAAGATAGAGATATGAGAGAGGAGAGATACGAGAGATAGAGGAGAGAGAGAGATAGGAGGGAGAGATACAGAGAGATGAGGAGAGATACAGAGAATGGAGGAGATACGAAGATGGAGGAAAGAGAATGGATAGAGAGGAGAGAGATACAGAGAGATGGAGGAGAGATACAGGAGATGAGAGATGGAGAGAGATAGAGAGAAGATATAGAGAGATGGAGGGAGAGATACAGAGAGATGGAGGAGAGAGAGATGGAGGAGAGATACAGAGAATGGAGGGAGATACAGGAGATGGAGGAGAATACAGAGAATGAGGAGAGATACAGAGAATGAGATGAGAGAGGAGAGATAGAGAGTGGAGGGAGAGGAATTAGAGAGATGGATGAGGAGAATACAGAGAGATGGAGGAGAGATACAGAGAGATGGAGAGATGAGGAGAATAAAGATGGAGGAGAGATACAGAGAGATGGAGGAGAGATAAGAGAGATGGAGGGAAGATACGAGAGATGGAGGGAGAGATCAGAGAGATATGGAGGAGATACAGAGAAGAATCGGAGGGGGAAGATACGAGAAATGGAGGGAGAGATTCAGAGAGATGAGGGAGAGATACAGAGAGATGGAGGAGAGATACAGAGAGATGGAGGAGAGATACAGAGATGGAGGGAGAGATACAGAGAGATGGAGGGTGAGAGAGAGATGGAGGAGAGAGATAGAGATGGAGGGAGAGATACAGAGAGATGGAGGGAGAGATACAGAGAGATTGAGGGAGAGATACAGAGACATGGAGGGAGAGATACAGAGAGATGGAGGGAGAGATACAGAGAGATGGAGGGAGAGATACAGAGACATGGAGGGAGAGATACAGAGAGATGGAGGGAGAGATACAGAGAGATGGAGGGAGAGATACAGAGAGATGGAGGGAGAGATACAGAGAGATCAAAAAAAGGAAAAAAGAAAAAGTGGATTGGCACGGCTTTGAATTTGAACTGATCCCAAATGTGATTCAGTCGCTCAGCAAATAACACATTCAGCAGCCAGGTTTCTGCACAACGTGTATAATCTAAATATTGTGTTTCACAATTCTGTTGGTATGAGAGGAAAAGAGAGCAGACATGTAAACTTCACATTAAAGGCGCCCTGCATGGTTACCATTGGCAGAAATGCCAACTAGTTGACACTGTGGAAGACTTCTCTTGACCAACCTTGTCTGCTTGTCTGCTTTTCAGTTGGGGACACTGAATTAATTGAACAAGCAATACAATTCCATTACTAGAGCTTTATAGTGTAGACTTCTATTGACTATAGTATTGACTTTGTGTCTTTAGGAAAAAAAGACAACCAACTTACATATTTTACTTTATTATACAGTGAATGTGAAGTTAATAATACCCTACATAGACACTAGAAATATAGGAATAGGAAGAGCTCCACTGCAGATATTTAGTTGGTCCTCTCACCCACTCTAGTATTAAGTCATCAGTCCTCTGCCCCAACCCTCTTTATTGTATTAATGCATAACTCTGCTACTTTGTGACATTTAAAGGCACAGTAAAATTAGATAATTACAGTAATATATCTGTGTACTCATGCTGACTCTCTGGGTCAGAGACATAAAACTTAATAAGGAATAAGAGGGAGGGAGGGAGGGAGGGAGGGAGGGAGGGAGGGAGGGAGGGAGGGAGGGAGGGAGGGAGCGAGATTGATGGAAAGACAGGTAGTGTGAAATTCTTGCTGGGAAATGACAGACAAAAGGACAGGTGTCCAATTTCTAACTGGTGGGATG